AATAAAAATGGAAATTTTAATTATTTCTCTGTCTCCAATGTTTTTCATTTCATATATACCTAAAAATTCTTACGTGTTTTTTTTTCCTTATAGCTTTTACAACATATTGTCCATCAAAATGTTCTAATCATACTTGTGTCATGGGTCAGCACTATTTAAAGGGACCTTATAGTCACCAAAACAACTTTAGCTTAATTAAGCAGTTTTGGTGTATAGAACATGCCCCTCCAGCCTCACTGCTCAATTATCTGCCATTTGGGAGTTAAATCCCTTTGTTTATGAACCCTAGTCACACCTCCCTGCATGTGACTTGCACAGCCTTCCTAAAGACTTCCTGTAAAGAGTCATCTACAGTTTACCCTTCCTTTATTGTAAGTTCTATTAAATTTAGAGTTTCTTATCCCCTGTTATGTCAATAGCTTGCTAGACCCTGCAAAAGCCTCCTGTGTGTGATTAAAGTTCAATTTACAGAGCAAGAAATAAAATTGTTTAAGGTAAATTACATCTGATTGAAAGTGAAACCAGTTTTTTTTCATGCAGGCTGTGTCAATCATAGCCAGGGGATGTGTGGCAAGGGCTGCATAAACAGAAACAAAGTGATTTAACTCCTAAATGGCGGTGAAGTGAGCAGTAAAACCTGAGAGGCATGATCTATACACTAAAACTGCTCCATTAAGTTAAAGATGTTTAGGTGACTATAGTGTTCCTTTAATGCCAGTATTCTGGTCTACAGGGTGACATCTTGTGGCCTCTATGTGATATTACAATTGAATTTGATAAGTTACATTATGTTAAAGAATTGTCCACTCTATATTACTGCTCTGTGTTAAAACTTCCATCCAGAAAATAATGATTTACACTTATAAGGAAGAAAAAAAGATAGATGCTATTTACTAATACATTCAGGAGATCTATATTCATTGTATACTTTCAGAGTTTTCAAAATGCTGAGAAACAAATGGCATGAGTCCCAATTCTTCTACACTGTTTGAAATTATAAAGATATATATGCTGAGGTCCTCACATGTAACAAGAAACAGACAATCAGTTCTCACAAGAGAGAGAGATAACTGGCTCTCTTAAAGAAAAAAAAAAATATATATATTTATTTACAATTAGAGTCCACAGTTAACATGAAGAGATGAATGGCCTCTCCTCTCCCTCCAGGAAGAAAAGGGGAAAAAAAGAACAATTCGTATCTATATTTTCATAATCTGCTGCAACTGTATTAAAATGAAAAAATACTGACTGCGAACACCTCTAAATTATAAAATGAAAAAAAAAACTTTAATTCTCCATACCTTCCAGCCAAGACAAATCATTATACACATAACCAGGGTGAGACTTACCTGGGAGTGCCATGGGGTAGGTTGGCTTCGTAAGGAAACCAATTACACTGTCCGATTTAGAGGTAGTGGTTAAATGCATTGAATTTCCATTTTCAGTGCTTTATTATGTGGATCAGCCTTTACAAGGGTTTTAAAATTGGCAGTAAAATTTAGGTTGTCTTTTCTAGAGGAGGACTTTTTTCAAGCACAGTATGTGGATCTCCCATGATGCTTTTCCAGCATTGTGGTTGTAAGAGAATTATGGGAGATGTAGTCCACAATATCTGGAGTGCCACTGTAACAGACGCATGTGCATCTAATCTTTACATAACATGCTGATTGTGCAACGGAAGTAAAACAGCTCCACCTGGTGTTTGCTGGTTGAATTACCAGATCCAGAAGATTAATGTATTCCTTACCCATAGTGCAAATAGAAAAATTTAAAAAAGTGAGATTAATAAAAAAATATATATATAGTGTTTAACATGTATAATACTGAATTTTACAAGAAATTCTATTCAAAGTAAGCAATTTAAAGATACCCTCACACTGGCATGCCTTAGATTTGTATGGAAGTGAAAAACAAAAGTCATTTTTACATACATTTGTATTATAAAAATACACACCTATCTCTAGGTGGCACTCTTCACAGTGCAGGCCTACATACCCAATATAAGTATCAACTACCTAGTCTCTGGTCACTAACCTAGAGAACTGAGGATTCCTATACTGTGCAACTATTGGCAGGCCTTGACCTCTTCTCAATGTGCAACATTAGGCGCCCCACTAGAACATGAGAAGGTCAAAGAGTGCGCCCCAACATGGCCCATGCTTCTGCTTTTTATGCCAATGAGAGGGGCACCACTGTGGGGCATTAAACCCCGAACACACAATGTTTACCTTTAATGGGGTTGCAACAAGCCCTAACCCTCATGCCTGTTTCGTTCACTACCTGTTTTACAGTCATATATTATCACCTCTGCAATCCCCATGAATATACCTGAAGCTACTATGGATGATTTTTCATTAGCTTTCATCTAAGTCATGTGCTTGTCATAGACCATACAGTTTATGTTTCCTTGTTAATTTGTATTCCTTTACAACTTTTATCATTGCTGTATATATAAGATTGTATAAAATAAAAAAAAATTTAATCTACTAAATAAATATATATAGATTTTTTTTTTTTTGAAAACTACACAAATCCTTAAATAATATTATATTTGAGATTATGTAAGATAGTTAATGCCATTCTGATAAAAATGCTAACCCATTATATGAGTTAATAGTTACGTAGGAGATGTCAGGGAATCCAGTTGCAAGTAATTTTAAATTTTAGATCATGTTTTCTGCTGTAATAAACTTGCATGCAAATGGATATTTTGTGCTAAAAAGGAAAGATAGAACAGGAAACGTGTGTATACATATATACCAACATAACCTAGGTAATCATTTGGGTGGTCATTTAAGCCTTACATATTTTCAGAAATTACTGCTACAGCCCATGTAATTAGAGAAACAAAAAGGCATGAACTAAACCCAAAAGTTAGGATAACCCTACTCGAAGGTATATTTGTTCCTGCATTAAAGTTGATATTACTAGCTACTAATATGTACAGTGGAGGTAGAATAAGATTCAAGTGAAACAAATATCCTGCATTAAGTTAGAGAAACTAAATGGAAGTGGGTATACATTATTATAATGTAACCATATAAGGTAAACCATCCTTTCATCATAACCTGACAATGTTGCCACCCATTGTTAATGTATGAATTACACAAGCAGTAAAAAAGAGAATTAGACAATATTAGAAAAGTGTAGAGAGGTTGGTTGCATAAAGAAGTAAAAAGTCATTGTCTCTGTCGCAACCCTGCGAACCCTGCTCCACCTTAAAGGTCTATCTATCTGTAGAATTAGGTGGAGCAGGGATTCAAATCTAAGCTTTTTGACAACGAACCATATACATAGTGTAGAATTTGGAATATTTATGAAGCGTAAATTTTAAAAAAAAAGTCGGATCAGAAGGCATCCGGCAGGATTCATGTTCGCAAATTAACATTCACTTGCTTTTTGCAAGTGACTGATCATTTTTAAGTGCTAGTTTTTTTCGCTGGCAGCACTAGCAGCCAGAGGGCAAATAGTTAAATAACCCTTGGCACTACATGGGTTAGCTATGCGGCTGCTGGCTAGTGATTGTGGGACACTTACAAAACAAGGAGAGAGTTGTGTTCACCATGGGCGATGGTGACTCTAAATAATTATACAAAGGGGACCTACCATTTCCACAAGCTATTAGCTCTAGGAAGACATCGGCCACAGGAGGTCGCCCTAAGAATTTGTGTGCATACACGGCTGAATTCTATTGCTTTTGACTTCCATTCTTATACTCTATTTATGTGAATTACTGCTTGTAGTATGTTAAGGATGCTCAAGGCCCTAGTAACAATGTGTTTCTAAAGGGACACAATAGTTACCAGAACAAATCTCGCTTAATGTAGTTGTCCTGGTGTATATAGCCTGTCCCTGTAGTTTTTTTTTACTGTATACATTGTATTTTCAAAGAAAATTAGCTGTATTACACCACAGGTTTAGTTTGAAACACTCCAGCATTACATATAGTGTTTTTTATTTGTAAGGCTGGAGTGTCCCTAATATTGCATGCAATACTGTATGATAAGCAGGACAATCCACAATGGGATACGTTTGTTATTAAAGCAAAGTGCAACATTTGCAGGGTTATACTACATGTGAATTGTCAGGAATTCAGTTGTAATTCACACTCTATTCTAGTGTATAATCTATCAATATTTAAGGGGTTAAAACTAACAAGGAATAATTGTATGTCACAAAGCATTTCATATACCGCTATCGCTTATATCTGTATACCACACATAAGTAATTCCTTTCAGTTTGATTTGAATTGCAGAATAAATTCAGCAATTCAGAAGTGTTCAAATTTCAGAATTCTTTACAAATTGAAACTAACCAAAAAAAAACGAATTCATAACAAATCAAAGCTAGATTTTTTTGGATATAAATGTTTACAGAATGTATATGCTGCATGTTTGCATCATGTATCTATATGCTGCATGCAGGGGTGGACTGACAAATCAGGCATTTGGGCAATGTTCGTGAGAGGCCCCGTCACGCTGCCGGGTTTGGGACACCCTCAGTACTCAATATTTCGAATGATTGCCTCCCAGTGGCACCCAGACACAAACCAGCATTACTCCTGTGAGCTCTGGTATTTAGAGGGTTGCCATGGATTACCATGGCAAAACGTCAGACACCAAAGCTCATGAGATCAGATACACTGGACCACCAAGGAAGCTATGTACTGTATCTCCCACCGGACCACCAGAGATCACTGGAACACCAAGGGTTCCCCCTCCCAAGATAAACCATAGGAAAAAGGAAATAATTATTTAGTAGTTGCTTTGTTTTTGTTTTTTTTAAACTAAAATGTTTTTATTTTTCTCTATACCTATTAGAGCCCTTACACCCCATCACTACAGCCCTTATCCCCACACTACAGCTCATATTTTTAAAAATAATTTCCCCTCAGCCTCTGCCTACCCACCACAGTCCCTACCTCCAACTACAGCCCTCAACCCCCACTACATCCCCTTAACCCTCCCCTACAGATACTATTCACACACTACACAACCACATTTTTTTGTTTTTTTTAATTCTTTATTTATTCCAAGGTAGTACATTACATTTAAAACATAATGAATCATAATATTGCAATATATTGTTACATTGTGCATGACAGTATTCTCTTGCATTTTCAATAACAGTAGGCCAATACTCCTTTTAAGACCTTACATGTCCATTGTAGCATGGAATGAGTCTATCAGACAGCACGCCTCTGTTTTCCTGTCTGCCCTGGTTTTTTTTATTTTATTTTTAAAGAAAAGTATAACTTTTTTTTATCCCTACATTACAGCCCCTGTAACCCCAACCACCCGTTACAGCCCCTATGCCCCATTACATCTACTATCCCCCAATACAGACCCTAACTACCCAACCCCACCACTACAGTCTCTATTCCCCAATTACAACCCCCTAACATCCTCACTGCAGCCACCCTTTAAACACTTAAACGTCAGCAGCAGGGTGAACCTAAGGCACATGAGGTGCAAGTGTTGTGCGTGCATAAGGTCTTCCCCATAAGAAAGCATTGAATCAATGCTTTCCTATGGGGATTTGCAAGATGCTGGACACCCTCTCTAAAACTGCAATGGTTTCAGCTGCAGGGTTTAGGAGACAGGGACTTTGCACCTAGACCACTTCAATATGGTGAAGTGGTCTGGGTGCATATAGTGTCTCTTTAAATTTGCCCATGCTACAGCCAGCAAACATGTAGGTACACTGTTTAATAGACTGTTTAATAGATACTTCCTGTGGCGGACCTTCAGGTCACCTATACCGGCAGGAGTTTCCCTAACTCTCACAATACCTGCCTAGAAGCAGGCCTGCAGTGGAATAGGCAGAGGGGGTGATACCTGCCTGGAAGAAAGGATGCAGCAAAATAGCCAGAGGGGACAATATCTGCCTAGAAGCAGGGCTGCAGAGGAATAGGCAGAGGGGACAATATCTGCCTAGGAGCAGGGCTGCAGTGGAATAAGAAGCGACTTATGTTTCCCAGTTCCAGCTAGGGAGCGAGCACTTCCCTAATCTGGGACCCTTATGTATGGCAATTCCACGTAAGGATACCAAATTAGAGAGTGATCTACTAAAAAGCTAAAGGAGTAAAATAAAAAAAATAAAAAAAAAAGCCTGTTTTTCCTAATTTCTTTATGCGTGATTACTATTTTTAAGAATGCCAAATTGGGGGGTCAGCTGCTTTTGGGAAAATGTGAATAATGGAATCCAAATTTCAGTTCAGTTCGGAAATTGTTTTTCACATTCCTATTCATTCCGAAACAATAATTTCCAAATTTCGGACAAACCAAACATAAAATATGAATGAATCAAAACAAAATGAATTTTTTTTTACCATAGTTACATAGTTACATAGCTGAAAAGAGACTTGCGTCCATCAAGTTCAGCCTACCTCACATTTGTTTTTTGCTGTTGATCCAAAAGAAGGCAAAAAAAAAAACAGTTTGAAGCACAATTTTGCAACAAGCTAGGAAAAAAAATTCCTTCTTGACCCCAGAATGGCAGTCAGACCATGCACATCTCTACTGCACATATTATTACTTTTTTACTCTTTCTGAACGTCCACTCGATTAGAAATATCTTGTCTTCCTGATTATACCAGGACTCTAGAACACAAGCCACTAAATATTTCCAGGGTTTTTCATTAAATTCTAAACTTTAGCAAATTAAATCCAAAATGTAAAACTGGAGTGAAAATAGTCAGGCTGTGACTAGAGCCATGTTGAGCCATGTTGTATAATTTTTCAAGAGCATCTGTTTTTTTTGTCTTTGTTATTATTCATTTATTTGCATATATTAGAAATGTAGTCAATAACACTGTGAGTTGTACTGCGTTGGCTTTTGAATTTCAAACTTTAGGCCAAAACTAACGAAAACATTTTTGGATACTCTCTTACCATGTCATTACTGTTCCGTATTTAGAGAATAAATCAGTTCAATTTCAACATTCCGGCAGCATGGAATAAATAACAGAAAGCTCTCACAAACATGCTTCCCCATGGAGGACCAATGCATATAATTCCGTTTAACCCACAATCATTACTAAACTTGTTGCTAATCTGTGGATAATGACTTCATGGTGGGAGTGCTTTTCATAGCACTGGTCTATGAAGCCTTTAATTCTCTGTGAATCTGCAAGTGTCAGACCCTGAGTCGTATAAACTAGAAAGGCTTTGATACCATGGGGGGATAATCTCAGTCAATCTCCAGAAACCTTTGCCAGACACACACGGTTTTCTGAAAATGTAGCTCTGGCACAGTAGTCATTTGATGGAGAGTACTTAAACAGATCAGTTTTTTTTCTATTACCCTGCCCCAGATTGTGTATGGACTTGTCACACTCACACGTGACACTCACAATGGCACATCCTAAAAGAAGTGTATTGTCATTTAATATCTTACATCATTACATTCTCATGGTTTTTCATATTTTGTAGAATACATGTATCAACTGGATTTGGTAGTATACTAAATAAACACAAGGAGGAGCTGTCTTACTTCCTGTGCACAATATGCATGTTATGTAAAGATCAGATACATGTGCGTCTGTTATACAAAAATGTCTTAAATCAAGGACCATCCAAACAAATTCATGCAAAAAATATTAGACTCTACCAGGCTTTTAAACACTAAGAACTGGTGGTACCCTGTGCCTGTGTAATAGGAACCAGGAGGGATTTAAAGTCACCATCAGGAATAAAAAACAGGCAGTTAAATTACTAGCCCCTTTCTCTCCTAGGTGTTATAAAAGTTTAATTGTGATTAAGAACACTCATCATTTATAGCGACATGTTCATTCTCACTAGCCTACACTATGCCTAAGACAATATACCGGGCACCATGCATAGCAACACGGTTATATTGTTGCAGTGTGTAATATACATGCATTTTTTACACAAAGTCTTGGAGAAATATCTCAATGAAAAACCTACAGTTTTGCACAAAAAAGAAACCCTGAATCTCATGTAACGCCCGTGAGAACTTACGATCAGCTCTAAATCGCATGTAACGTTTGAAGCACATCGACGTCACCACGCGGACATAAAAAAAGCATAAAAAATACCATGTCATACTTTTCATTGCAAACTGTAAATTGGGATGTGTGTTTATCTTAAAAAGCTGATTCACCACAATGCACTGCCAGACAAGTCCCACTTTTACATGTCTTGTACGGTGTATAATCGCACATTGCAGTAGGGACACCGTTCTTTCACAGTTATTATAATAGTTGTATTTTGATTAAGAACACCCAACACATGAAATCTAGATAAAAAAAAAACTATACTGATTCAATTATTTGCCCTGAAACCACGTAAAATAAAACCATTACTTACTAGATACTTTAGTTTAAGTATCTGTTGAATATGTGCGCCTTTTATGTCATTGAGTGTGGGCAGCCATTTTTCTGGTACTTAATTTGACTGGTTATTTAAATATTTGCCACTTTGTTGTCCTACTTATTTTCCTTAATTGTAGGAGAAGTTATTAATGTTCACTTGTGAGATGAATTGCCAAAGAGATGACCAATATCATTGTCTGGGTATAAGTGATATGTTGCCCAGGAGTCTCTGGCTTTTATGTTGCTCATTTGGGATCCCGATTGCCATGTTTATGGTGGGGATCACAGCTGATCCAATTTTTTGTCAACGAGAGGGCAATTTGGGGGTTATATAAAGTCATGGAGGACTTGTATATACAGCTCTTCCTGAAGATGCAGTGCGGCTGGCCTTGGAAGGTGCAATAACCCGGAAAGTAGACAAGAGCAATGCTTATCGTGCAAGCAATGGGATCTGGACCTATACGAGCTGTAACCAAACACCATGCAGCACTGCTATGTAGAGGGCCAGGGAGGCCACAAAGCTTTAATTGCGCTATTGTCTCTATGCGCTTTTGTATTTGTAAGTGTATCATTTTATGTATCCTGATATTTTTGGTTGTTACATTTTACTCTATGGAAATTTACAAGAGAGATGTTTTGGGGATTTTTACATTGGGTACATGAAAGCCATTAGGATTAGGAATACAGAATAGGATGTTAGCTTTCATTGTGAGGGAAATTGTGTATATATATATTTATGCATTTCTTGATACTGTATGTATATAACAGAATTGTTATCACATGTATTTCTCTTGGAATAATTGCATTTTCCCTTTACCATTTGTTCTCTTTTAGTTTTTTAGGACTTTGTTTTTTTTTTTATTGAAGATGGGGTTAATGTGTGTTTAGTATCTAATCATTTTGGACCCTTTTTTGTTTCGTAGGATGAGTTTGTTTTGCCGGGTATAAACCAGTGACTATTGCTATATTATTTTATCTAAGATTAAGTCCCTCTTATGCGGAAAAAAATGAATCAGATATGGCAGTTTTGTACTATGATTAATCACTGAATAAAAGGGTTCATATGCGCCTGATTTTGCCATGCTATGCCTGGAGTGTATTTACTTATGTCGATGTTTTGCAGTTAAAGGACCACTCTAGGCACCCAGACCACTTCAGCTTAATGAAGTGGTCTGGGTGCCTGATCCAGCTAGGGTTAACCCATTTTTTTATAAACATAGCAGTTTCAGAGAAACTGCTATGTTTATAAATGGGTTAATCCAGCCCTCAAAGCCTCTAGTGGCTGTCTCATTGACAGCCGCTAGAGGCGCTTGCGTGATTCTCACTGTGAAAATCACAGTGAGAACACACAAGCGTCCGTAGGAAAGCATTGTAAATGCTTTCCTATGAGACCGGCTGAATGCAGCTCTTGCCGCGCGTGCGCTTTCAGCCGAATGGGAGGAGAGGAGGAGGATCGGAGGAGAAGATCTCCCCTCCCAGCGCTGGAGAAAGGTAAGTTTTAACCCCTTTCCTCTCCCCAGAGCCGGGCGGGAGGGGAACCCTGAGTATGTTTTTCTGGCACTATAGTGGTCCTTTAAGGAGCGGAGTTGGAAGCCACAGCCATTTTATCACCATGACTTGGCTGGTGAATTCTGCCCGGTGTATCAGCTCTGTTGTACTTGCATCTAAATGACATTGTTATATCCTACAAACTATGTTGGATTCCCTATTATGAAGCTATCATTTCATGTATCTTAATGTTTTTGGTTGTTACATTTTATACTATCGAAGATTTATCATTGTTTCCAGCCTGTTCAAGAAGAATTTGAGAGAAATACACATAATGCTGAATTGCATCATATTTAGGTGATATAAAAGTGAAAATCCTTGTACATTGTAAATTGATATTTCCCACAAATGTTTTCCAATTTAAAGCCATGTGACTATATATAAAGTGTCGATCACCACTTTAAGAGACATATTAGGGCCTTCATCAGATCTCACTATATTTCTGATTTTTCTTGTAATGTGTTTATAAGAATTCTGTTGGTTTTTTTTTGTTGTTGATTACATTAAAAACAGATTACACTCAGTAAGGGATATCTTCAGAAGCAACCTAAGAAAGAATACAATTTTTATTTTTCACTTTATTACAAACTGTGTACACATTATCCTGTTGGCAGCAGATTTAATTTAAATTCAGTGCAAGGTGAAGCGTTTCTGACCATGTGAAAACCTCTTTTCGTGATGACAAAACTGCCAAAAAGAAGCAAGAGCGTAGTTTTCCATTAGTCCTTTTGTAGCAAACCAGCCTTTAGAACTGAGAAATATAGTTTCGGGAAAACCTTTGCAGTGAGGTGGCTGAGTGCAGTTGATTTGTGTGGCCATGCACAGATTTGGGAAGCCTATGAGAAATTAAAACAAATTTTAAGTAAAAATATAAAATATAATTGTTGTCACATCACAAAGTAGACATTTATATTCCTTCACAACCAAACCATTATGCCATGTGATACATCACAATCTAATGTGCCAGTAACTACCATGGAGGTATTGTATAAGGTGTAGCAGGTTTTTTTTAGCATTGCATAAGATATAACGAATTGTATTTCTGAAAAGTGTTTTATATTTTATGAGCTGTATGCAAATAACCAAATAAATATAATTGTGTACTCTTTTTTTCTGTCAGTTTTTGGGCTTGAATGGGAAACTGGAAAATATCCCACAATGCACCAAGGCTGATGGACTGCATCATGACTTCATATCCCAATAGCCAACACTCGTACGTGAAGGAGAAATAAGGTGACGGGATGTCACCTGGCAGGTGACAGGTGGTGAGTGAAGGTGTGTGTTTGTGTAGGAGTATCAAAATGTCAGAGTATATGCTTTTATATTGATACATGTATTATATTACCATTTACATGTGTAAATGAACAGAATGTGTACTAATATACACACAAGTAATATAATACCAATGCATTAATATACATTTATGCATTGATAAAACACTCAGAAATTGTAGAGATTAAAAATCCAGATGGCATTACTCAGTTGATTAAAAAGTCTTCAGCTCTATAGTAACTTTCCTGTTATACAGTTTTCTTAGTATTGCACTGATGCAGGGCCAGACTGGGAATGAAAAGAAGCCCTGAAAAAGAATTCTGTCACATTACCCTCCTCAGCCCCTCCTTGTATCTCAATCACTCCTTCTTTCCCTCATGTGCCCCCCTCCATTCATGCTGATGTTTGAAGTGTTGTTGAGTGGACCAAGGGTAAAGTAGCTTGTTCACCTACCTGGTCTGACAGGATGCAGGTCAGTGCTCATGGAGATCATTTCCTGTGAGACTGGGTAGGGGAATAGAAGCTCCTCTAACCATGGTCTGCTTAGCCATGCTACATGGAGTGACCATCAAGAGGGGAGCACTTCCCCTCCTAACCTGTGATTGAGTTGTGAGCCCGCCCTAGATGGCAGCACACCGGCCCAAAGATATGCTGGCCCACAGGGAAATTTCCTGGTATCATGGTGGGTTAGTCTAGCCCTACCCTGATGTCACACTCAACCCTATGACATTTTAAATAAAGAGCACTCATAGGACTAGAGGTGTACATACATTCTAAAAGTTGGTCACTCCCCCACCTGTCAATCAATTCTTCGGCATAGACATGCATGCCATAGATTTATCTGATGGACAGAGAAAAAAAGAAACCTCTTACATTCGGTTCTTGATCTACTCAATGTTGCTTGTGCTGGCTATTAAAGTATAGGAGCAAAGTGCTCCCAAGGAGGGCAAATCACATCAGAGAGCCGGCAGACTAGAGGAGGGTGCTACAATAGTGTAGCACCTATGAAGCTGAGGACATGTTGAGAAAAACAAGTAGCTAGAGAGGACAACAGCTCAATTAGCCTTGCCTTTGGTGGGTCCCCGCTCAGATCTCAAGCTGGTTTCAGCTTATCTTGTGCCATTACAGAGAGAACATATCTGAAGCATATCAGACTGGTCCCACCCGTACGGGCAGTCCAGATCCGAAATGCCAGCAAGTTCCCTGTGCAGGAGAGATACAGCAACCCCAGACGATCGTTTCAACCTTGTAAGGTATCATCAGTGAGGTATAGCTAATATCCCACTAGGCACACGTCTGGATTGCCCTTTAACCTAAGGAGAGAAAAACAAGTAGTAAGAGAGGTGAGAACGGATAACAACTCAATTAGCCTGCCCTTCAGTGGGTCCCCGCTCAGATCTCAAGCTGGTTTCAGCTCATCTTGTGCCATTACAGAGAGACCATATCTGAAACATATCAGACTGGTCCCACCCGTACGGGCAGTCCAGATCCGAAATTCCAGCAAGTTCCCTTTGTCCCTCTAGGCACCATGAGCATGGGGTTCACGTTTGGATTGCCCTTTTGTCAGGATTACAGATTGATCCAGCACGTAGAATTGTGTCACACCTAGGACTAAAAGGTAACTGTAACAAAACGTGTAACAAAAACACCCCAGTTAACCAGTATAATTTCTGCTTATATATATGTGAACTCAGACTGTTTGTTGTTTTACCTTCTGACTATGGCCCTGGGATATATGGCATTTAAAAACACTATTTGTGCCCTGTGACAAAACTGGAGATTGTGCACAAATATGACTATTGTCCATATTTTTTATGATTCCCTTCGTTTATTGCACTGTTCCCCATGTGTTTCATCTGTTGGTTCGGCTGGATAGACTACCAGACAAACTGTGGGGTTACTGGGTGGCCACCATTTCATGTATCAGAGGCACATGGTGAGAACAATGGATGAAGCACATGGTGAGAACAATGGATGGCGGCCATTTTAACTCACAGACACTGTTTTGACTTTTCTACATGGTGCCATCTCGCCGGTATTTGGGGCACAAAGACATCATGCAGTAGTTTTAAACTATACAACAGGGGACACATTATACAGTAATTATTTTTCATATAGCCTGTATATGTTCTGCGGAATCTGCATTAAACCATATCTTCCAAACTACTGAACGGATCTGGGAGAAACATATTGCATGTTTTGGGGTCCCTGTAATATGTTTTATAATACTGTATTTTCCTGCCTGTGATAATTAAGTTAGTCTATTGTGTTGAGATAATTGTATCACAGAGGGGAGGTTTTCTGATGTAATGAATGGGAGTGTTAGCCAGGGCCGTCATCAGGGGGTGACAACCATGATGGTTGTCACGGACCCGGCGGTCCTGGGGCGCCCAGACTGCTCTGGCAGTCCCGGGCCCCACATTCCCTCTCTGCGAATATCGCTATCTATGTGTGCAGCCGCGGGCCCCCCGGCTCCCTGTTACCACAGAGGGGGCACAGCACACTGCCTCTACTCTTCTCTTCTCCTCTCTTCTAATAACTCTCGCGAGAAGAGAAGAGTAGAGGCAGTGTGCTGGGCCCCCTCTGCGGTAACAGGGAGCCGGGGGCCCCACCATGCCACCGGATCACCAGGGATGGAAACTCGCCGCTCCCTGGACACAGGTAAGAAGCAGGGAGGGGGGATAAATATTTAATTAAATTAATATAATATTAATGTGAAAATACCCCTTCCTCCCCCCCCCCACTCCCATATTGCACATTTACACACACACTGCATACACTAACACAACACACACACTGCATACACTAGTACAACACACAGTCTGCATTCACTACACTAACACACACTCTGCATTCACTACACTGACACACACTCTCTGCATTCACTACACTGACACACACTTTGCATCCGCTACACACTAACACACTCTCTGCATTCACTACACATTAACACTCTGCATTCACTACACTAACACACACTCTGCATCCGCTACACCCTAACACACTCTCTGCATTCACTACACATTAACACACTCTGCATGCATTACACATTAACACACTCTCTGCATTCACTACACTAACACACACTTTGCATTTACTACACACTAACACACTCTCTGCATTCACTATACTGACACACACTCTGCATTTACTATACTGACACACTCTGCATTCACTACACTAACATACACTCTGCATTAACTGTACACACAGCATCCACTACACAAACATCCTGTATTCACAGTACACACACTACATCCACCACAAATTGAAACACTCTGCATTCACTATACACAGACACTGCATCTAATACACACACTACATCCACTACAGACACTGCATCCACTAAACACATTTCATCTAGTACACACAAACACTACATCCACTACACAAACACACACTACATCACTGTACACACACTACATCCACTACTCAAACACACTCTGCGTTCACTATACACACTGCATCCGCTACACAAACACACACTCTGCATTCACTGCACAAACAGTATCTAATACACACAAACACTACATCCATTACACACATTCTAATTCACTTCCACTATATACACTACATTCAGTTCTGCATCATTGTCAGTGGACTAGGTAGGGCATGGGCGGGCCCAGGAGGAGGGAAGGAGGGGAAGGGGGGAGGGGGGCCCAGACCTTGTGCTTTGTCAGGGGCCTCAAAATTTCTGATGGCGGCCCTGGTGTTAGCTGTGTTGTAATGTGTTGATTGGTTGTTCTTCAAAACCCTGTGGGCAGTACTATGTTTGTAGAATGTAAATAAAAGAGGCTGTATGTGCCAGTACAGTCAGTTCTACTTCACCCTCAATCTGAGTCCTGTCTCTTGTTAGGGGGAATCTGCTACAAGGGATTTCTATGCTCTGCATATTCCCTTGCTATAATCACTGAGCTCTTGTAAGAGCTTGTTCCTGTCTTGCTCTCTGAAGGAGTCTACGGTGGTTATGGTGTCCAGTGTGGTGCTTGTGATCCTCGGCGCAGGAAGCGTTCATCAACGGAAGGTACTCAGTCGGAGTACGGGGAGTTCCGTTACAGTAACGTTTTACCGGGCCTTAGAATGGGCGGACTTAATGTACCAAAGAATATTCAGGATACTAGAAATGGTCGGTCGGCACAGAATGGGACAAGCCAAAAGTCAGGGATACCAGAATACAGGGAAGTCAAACAAAGCCAAAGTCAAAAACCAGAAATAAACGCTTAGGAGCACACTCTCGGACAACCACTAGGGAAACCATGACAGGGCAATGAGGAAAAAAAATTTGAGCTTAAATAGGTGCTTTACAGTTCTGATTGGCCGAAAAACAGCCTTTGATCCCAAAACGTGTGCGCGCATCTCCCGCGTGATGTCATGCGCACGCCGTCATATTAATTAACATGGGCGGGTGTGGGGGTGTAATTTGGCATGGATCCGCAGTGGCCGGCGTCCATCAACATGTTGCAAGAGTCAGTTATACAGACGCACGGCTGCTGAGTGCAAATACCGCAAGGAGAGAAAAACAAGTAGCAAGAGAGGTGAGAACGGACAACAGCTCAATTTGCCTGCCCTTCGGTGGGTCCCCGCTCAGATCTCAAGCTGGTTTGTTTTTCTCTCCTTGAGGACATGGTGGTTCAAGACCAGAGGGAGGCAAGTTTAAATCTCATAATGATAACATATTTTCCATTTTAATTTTGTATTTTCAATTGGTATAGGGCTGGTGTAAGAAAATTATTTCCAGTCCGGTCCTGGGAAGTGGGAAAGGTCGGCAATTGATTTTTTCCAAAATCGCAATACATAAAAAATTTAAATATATATATTAAGAGCAGGTACATTAAAATGTTTTAAAGACAAAGTTCTCCTTTGACATCGCAGCTGATTAAATCACCAGGGTAGCTGTGCTCCAAACCAGTAATCATATTTGTAACGTTCAGCCAGTTAACGTGTAGGTAAGCTAAGATGCATGTTGACAGACAGTACAATATAATTACGTTGCACAGAATGTGATACATGTTCAGCTGTTAGCAGCTACTGTTAGTGATAAGGTGTAAGAGTCAGTCTTGTTACATTTTCTTTCATTTTTAACCCCTTAAGGACCAAACTTCTGGAATAAAAGGGAATCATGACATGTCACACATCATGTGTCCTTAAGGGGTTAAAGGCTACCTCCATGTCCATGCAAAGGTATAGTTTATATATGTTGCACGTAATGTAAACTGTGTATTATAGATAAACACTGTACTGCCACTAATGGGAGGAAACCAATAGCTAAACATAGTGGTATGTGGGAAATTCTTAAAACATAACCTTTATTACAAAATGTAAAAATACAAACATTACGACATACTTCACAAATATAGAACTAGTATACAACTCTAGAACAAAGAAATATGCAGACCGTTTCAATTATATGAATGAAACTTACTGCATTGACTGGAAAAAATATATCTATGTATAGTGCGATGTTCCAAATATAGAACCTGGCTATTAGAAATAATATGGTCAGAGACCCTAATTAAACAAAGTATATACAAGTGAACCTACAATCCTATGCCAGCCCAGGGTAGTATAGATCAAGAGGTAGTAAAAAAGATAACCTCACTCCCCCTTATAATTAAGCTTTATTGTGATCTGCTATAGGGATAGGAGTATACAGTAGCTAAGTCTCTATAATCCATGCATCCTAGGAAGTATCCTGGTCACACTAGAAACATATTAAGAAAAACAGAGAGAGATAAGGACTGAAAATAGAAGTAAAAAAATCAGTCAAAAACAGACTGATAATTAGCATTAATAAAGCCTCTCTCCCTGTAAAGCTAGCTAGTCCTTATCTCTCTCTGTTTTTCTTAACCCCTTAAGGACACATGACGGAAATATTCCGTCATGATTCCCTTCTATTTCAGAAGTTGTGTCCTTAAGGGGTTAATATGTTTCTAGTGTGACCAGGATACTTCCTAGGATGCATGGATTATAGAGACTTAGCTACTGTATACTCCTATCCCTATAGCAGATCACAATAAAGCTTAATTATAAGGGGGAGTGAGGTTATCTTTTTTACTACCTCTTGATCTATACTACCCTGGGCTGGCATAGGATTGTAGGTTCACTTGTATATACTTTGTTTAATTAGGGTCTCTGACCATATTATTTCTAATAGCCAGGTTCTATATTTGGAACATCGCACTATACATAGATATATTTTTTCCAGTCAATGCAGTAAGTTTCATTCATATAATTGAGACGGTCTGCATATTTCTTTGTTCTTGTGTTTATATTTGAGGTTAAGCCCCTCTGAGACAGCTGGAGTCTCATACTGGTACGTTTGTCTCTGCGTGACCCCTGCAGCCACTGCCCCCCTTTTGGGGAGGTTTTGAGGTGGTGGGTGCGGCGGCTATACAGGGACTTGGAACGTTGTGTTCCTTGCTCTCTCTTTTTAGTATACAACTCTCTCTAATAATGGTAAAAATCCAACTGCTACAAAAATATCCCAAAAATAACATTACAGAACATCTATTTTCTAACAAAAAAGCTCAATGACCAAATATAGATACTGTAATGAGTAATTGCTCTCAAAAGAGGCAAAAGAGGCAAGCTTGCTAAACATTAGAGACACCAAAATATTATATAAGCAAAGTTACCCTGTAATACAAATAGATCACAATATGTTGGATTGCATTGTATACCAAACTCAATGAATTACAATTGGACTTAAAGAAGGATTCATTCAAATAATCTTCTTAATTCGTTTTACATACGAGATATTATATGTTTTAGGAATTTTCCGCACCGAACCTGTTTTCATTCTGTTATTGATATATTTATACTAAACCAATGAGTGAACCTTTTGTCTCAGATTTGTTAGTTGGCAGAGATAACTCCCACCCTATATTTATTTACTATTCAATACTCTCCCTTACAAATTCTAATACAGAATAAAATAATACCTCCAACCGCAGATTTTCAGGAAACTCAGGGCTAACAATTAAGTATTGCTAAAATAAGGCCTAGAGCTTTTCAGCAGTCGACTCGGTAAAGTTTTGGTTTACTACAGAATCTGTGAGACTAAATCCAGGTCCATTTAACAGCACACGTACAGGATTATCTATTTTAGTAAATGGTTGGTAATTTAGTCAAAATGGGTTAATTAGAAAGGTTTTCTAAGTCAAACATCTTTCCAGCTCAGTTATAAGGAATCAAATTTGTGATATCCTGATAAATTTCTAAACCATTCCTAGTTTAATGGATAACCTTTATCTAGTCTAGTTGATACAGTTTCACAGTCAGTTATGGCCAATAATCTCTGCCTTCTGGGAAAGAAAGAAGCAATATTTTCTTCAGGAAGACTACCTCAATACGACATGCTAACACAGCTGATCTCTATGATTCTTCCTCTTCTTCTTCTTCTTCTTCTTCCTCCTCAGCTCCTTCCTCTTCATTTTCTGCTTCTACTTCATCCTGCCGGAGAGAGAGAGAGACAATTGGTGGAGAATGTGGAACAAACAGTCAACCATGGTAGAGAGTATAGAATCAGAGTAGATTGTGAAGTTGTGGAAGAAGATATTTAACAACTGCAATAAATAAATAATATGACCAATAATTGACGACTACTTGTACTAATAATGTAATTAATATATTGCAATAAATCAAACAGAAATATATAAAGTTAAGAAAATATGTCTATTTAAAGGGAACCTATAGACACGTAAACAAGTTTTTGGGGATTATATATCTCCTTCTGCCCATTTGTCCATGTCCTTTGCTATTAAAAAAATTAATTTTAAGAATGATTACTTAGCTCATTCCCAGCGCCAGGAATTTTCCACTGCAGATGCCTTCAAAGACGTCAGCTTGTGTGACCAAATGCAGTGCTCATCCAATCAAAAGCTGCCATCACAACATTTGATTCCAGTACTGAATCTCACTCAGTTCTGGAGAAGGAAGCACCTCTAGTGGCTGTCAGCCACCTACCACTCCCACCACTAATCCTCACAAAGCCACCTACCATACCAAGCCATTCCGATTTAAATAGCCACCTACCATCCTCCAAACAATCTAATACACAAAGCCAGCAAAGCTGAACAAAGTGTAAGAATAGTGAGCTTGTTACTACATCCGACATGCAATTTTCATCATCTAGCATGGAAACCAGGTGTTACTTAGCATTTATCGTTTCCCATTAATCTCTGAGGGAGACATTTCAGCAGCCACTGATTGCTACGTTTAAATGGTACATTTTACAGCATAGAAACGTCTGGTAATTTCTAATGATAGCAACAGACATTTTAGCTATTATTGACCTAATGGGAAATGATTGCATCAAGCATAGAAATGAACCCTTAGTTTCTGAAACCGGTCTACATTATTAGTGCTGCCACTTCCCTTTCCTACAGTGCTGAGAACATTTTAGCTATTGATAACATATTTTATACAATTTATGTTCTGCAAGTTATAATTCAGACGCAGTACTAGGTATAACATATAACATATTAAAGCACATTTTTCTAGACATGTTCTGCTCCTTTCTTCGATGAATGGGAATGTTTGGAGAAAGACCAGAGGAGTTGGGATATTAAAACATAACAAATAGTTTGAACTCTTTAACCTCTTACGGTAGATTGAAAAATAAAGGGTTTGGGGAGGGGGGAGTGGAAGGGGAGGATAAATTTGCATAGTTTTTTTTTTTAAAGAAAAGTTTTTACCAAGTCCTTAAATTAGCTGCCAACCTTATATTGGTCATATTTGACCAATTAATGCTTTAAGAGAAACTTTTTCGTTAATTTTATCCACTAAAATGTATAAGATTTATCGACAAACATTGTTTTTTATCCCATGACATTTCTAAAGCAGGAAATTAAAAAAACTTGATAGTTGCCTCTATAGTATGTGAGTTTTCTGAGTATTGTAAGCACTTAGTCACCATTCACTGTAACAATTTCTTTCTATTTTGTCCTTAAATTGGCTTAGGCTTAAAATGTAAGACAAAACACTATGTACATATTACAAAAGTAAGATGCATGTTTTTTCTGTTTAATTATTTCTTTGCTGGTATATTTTCAGTTTTTGTTTTTGTTTTGGTAGCTATATCATAACCAAATTATTTTAATTTAAAAAACTATTAATATTTGAAATGGTTTAACTTTAAACTCATTAAATTAATGAATAGCAGCATTAGAACAGAAGCAGAAATATAAATTTGTCGCATGCAAACGCAACTATTTATTATAAATGTGCCATATATACCTAAATGCAGTTTCCTCAAAATGTCATCACAATGAAAAAATAATATGCGTATGTAGGTATAATACCCACAAAGTAAGTACAGTCGCCTGCATAAAATGTGGCATCTGTATTATACAGTTCATTTTTAAGCCAACCAAGAAACAGTAAAATGAACTCATTGCTTTGCAACAGAAAACTAAATTGTCAAGATTGCAAAATAAATGATATCGAAGATTAAAAAAGATTTGGGGAATGGAAAGGTTAGTAGGACAGTACTGGTCCTTAGCCTGACCAGGATTAATGCTATGCCCATAGTAAAGTGCTAGCTTCAGACAGATAAAATAATAACACGCCAAAGTCAAAGGCAACAGTAGTTAGAATAATTATATATCAAAGCCAAGTCAAATGAACCAGAAATCAGCATGAACTACAGACATGTCAAACATCATAAGGCAAAATGATAAATCATATTTTATACAGGCGATTATTATAATAGGGCATTCATGATGGGGTTTATATAACCAATCGAATGGTTATAATGCCAGCTCGGCTGTTCCTGTACATTTGAATATAAATATTCACCAAAGATTTGATGTGGCAGCTTCATGCAAGTGACCTAGTCAGTCATGCTGTCTGTGGCGAGTTAGCTGTGGAGAGTCAACTGAGTACAGTGTACATAACAGAAATAAAGCCATGACAAAATGTTGATGATCTGTAAAAGGTTTAAACTACTGATATATTAAAAGATGTACTGAACGCCAGACTCTATGACTTGCTCCATCTGGCAGGCCTTGTTATTTAAAGGGACATTGTCTTACACTGAATCAGGGCAGGCATTTTGAAGGAGGCAGGAACAATATACAGGTAAGTACATTTTTTAACATATACATTTGTTATTGATTGAGAATAGACCTGACGATAACTTTGTCAACTATATGTGTCACTGTGATGATCTCTGTAATGTTCTAACTATTGTTCCAAAATAAATGTAAAAATTGTAGTAAAATAATGTGTTTAGTGTAATAACTCTCCTGTGTCATCTTTGTTATTTCTTATGATACTTTTAGCATTACAATAGAAATAGAAATGAATGAAGAGGCCAACTAAACTATATTCTCTGCACCTGTGCCATAGCAGGATTATCTGATTTCAATGTGAAACATTTTCACAACATACTGTTACAATGCAGCATGCATAGTTTGTATTGGGATTCCACCTGTTAGTAATGTTGGATTGTAGTTAAAGGGACACTATAGTCACCCAGACTTTAAACATAGCAGTTTCAGAGAAATTGCTATGTTTACATTGCAGTGTTAATCCAGCCTCTCGTGGCTGTCTTCCTGACAGCTGCTAGAGGCGCTTCTGCGACGATGGATGCGAAATTTTCATTTTTGCAAATTTGCAGCGTGCAGAACGTCCATAGGAAAGCATTGAGAAATGCTTTCCTATAGACTGTTTGAATGCGCGTGTGGCTCTTGTTGTGCCTGCACATTCCGCTCCACTCGGGAGCTGACGTCGGCAGGGGAGGAGAGGTCACCAGCGCTGAGGGAGCCTGGCATTGGATTAAAGTAAGCTGCTGAAGGGGTTTTAGCCAAGGGAGGGGGTACCCTGAGTGTGGGGGTGTCCTAAGGATGCTATAGTGTCAGGAAAACTAGTTTGTTTTCCTGACACTATAGTGATCCTTTAATAAACTGCTTACAGGAAAGAAGATTAGGAACCATACGAATGTAAAGCAGTAATAAGAAAAAGATAATTTTTTAAATCTAAGGGAACTGTAGTCGTGGAACCAGACACCAATGTATTTCATGATCTGAGGAGAACGTTGTCCAGATTTTTACTGAATTATCTTAGCACATAAAACGTCAAACCAACAAGTAAACGTCATATATTGCATTCTGTGTATGTAAATCAAACTTCCTAATTACCTTCTTTTCTTCAGCTGATTCAGCTACAGCATCTTCTTGGGTTCCATCACTTACAGGAGAGCTTTCGGTTTTCTAATAGCCGAAGAGAAAATCATATTGTTCGGTCAGTAAAGTATATTTTACATGCAGAGTGTATAAAACATGCAGGGATATACAGAGTCAATGTTGCACGTCACGCAATCACATGATAGCCATCACCTTTAATTTGATAACAGGAGATAATAAATAAAGTTATAGTAAATATTAAATGAGAATGAAAATTCTTATTAGTGGAACACGGGTTTCTTGAAAACGGTTTAACCCCGAAGTTGCTTCCAGCGCTGGTCTCAACCCCTCCCATGGTAGCTTCTGGCTTCAGTAATTTCACTTACAGGAAGTGCGAAGTTCCGTTAGGCAGAGGCGCCACTGATTGGCTGAGAGCAGTCAGCTGGCACTCACAGCCAGTGACTCCCTATTCTCAAAACTAGTTTGAGAAAGGTACTCCACTCTTCCTGTAAGTGAGATTTCAGAAGCCGAAAGCCGCCAGGGGCGAGCTGAGAAAGGTGCAGGAGGAAACATTGTAGTTAAACTATTCTAAAACGGTTTAGCCGCGGAAGGTAAATTTGCATCCAGGGGCCTCGGAGCATCATAACAACGTTATTTAGACAAAGCTGTTTGGGTGCCTGGCATGTTCCTTTAAATTAAGTAGTGCGTTCTATTTTGTTACTCAATCATTAAAAATCAGATTATTAGAACATATATATATAGACCCTTAATATACTTATGGCATTCATATTAGTAATACATATTATGTAGCATATGAGTAAATGTATTAAGATAATATTGTATCAGGGTAGCAATGTTTCCACGACCCAATAACATCGTAGCTATTCCCTAAACATCAATAAGCTGTTAGTTGAGAACAAACTTGCAAAATTTAGGCCACAATAGATTTTGAATTTGGCGGTCTAGGATATAAATTCTTCCTAATTTTCCAATTTTGACCTAAATTTTAAAAATCATTTTTAACCAGCTTCCAGATAAGTGATTAATGTCACCAGGGTGGATTAAAAGTTAAAAGTAAAATATCAATAGGCTCATGTCTAATCACACAATATATATCTCTTCTTGCAAAGTATCCTACTACAAAATTCTATATGAAACTTTGTTTTTATATAATTGGGTTGAAATAAAATGAGGAAAGCCATGGGAATGAGAATTTACTTTTAATTAAGTAACAAGACGTCTTGCTAGTGTCAGGATGACACACGTAAACAGCCTTAAATGTGCACAGCTGTTCATAGCTCCATATAAATAATTAGCTCATGTATGTAACCCAATACTGGCAATGCTACTCCTGTCGCAGGTTCTAGAACCCGGATGTAAGTTTCTTACCCTCCGATGGACATCTCATAGACAGATGGAAATGTACTAAACAGACTCAACTCAAAGTAGCTTTTACAAGCCTCGCAGATTATTTTAAATAGAAACAACTTTTTTAATTTTCATTTAATTACCATTATTCATCAATATACCTGGATTTTTTCCATAAAAGCATCCAACATTTTAATTTTAAGTATTAGAATGTGTCCAGTGATGCAAGGAAAATAACAATCTTTAAGTAAAATGGTTTCTGTTTATAGACGGTGAGTGCCACATAGCATAAAATAATTGCAATACAATAGTTATTGTAATAGAGGAAATGGAATGATGGTCTAATTGTGTCAGTGCTGGTAACAGACATTCTCCACTAGAACACATGGTAAAAGCATGCCAAACTGACTGTCACTTGTTTCTTCAATTTTTTATTTCAAGACTTCATCTACTACCAGAGGTGGCGCTATAACAAGCAAAACTACTACTACTTCTTGTTAAAGGGACATGCGTTACTTGATCATTATTTTGTAAACCAGCAAGCAAACACTTTTAAACAAATATACAAACAGAAATAAACTAAGAATAACTTTAAAACATATGTAATGAACATTTGTAAATTTACTATAAACTTGGCCAGATTGCATTATTCGTCACAGATGTCTTTCGTCAGCCCTCCCTCCCCCACACCTTTCTCAGTTTTAGACCAGTTCACCAACTTGACACTAGAGCCTGCCTTACATGATCACACTGATCAGACTATCTTTCTTTCCCCCTGTCAGGATGTTGCAAGGTGAAGGGATCTTCCAACTGCACATGTGTAAATCTGCCAGGCATGCCCAATGCACTAGTTCAGCATTCCTAGGGATAGGACACTGATTGGTTAGATCAGTGCCCCTCTTGGAGTGAGTGATGATAACATAAAGAAGACCTCAATTTAATATTGTTGGATAAAGCTTTTCAAATAATTTTATATGTTTTAGGGAACAAATTAAAATAATTTTTTAACTATATATATATATATATATATACACACATATATACACACACATATATACACACACACACACACATATATATACACACACACATATATACACACACACATATATATACACACACATATATACACACACACACACACACATATATACACACACACACATATATACACACACACACATATATATACACAAACACACATATATATTCACACACACACACATATATATAAATATATGTATATATATATATATATATATATATATATATTATATCAAATATCAAACAATTACTGAAAAATTTTAATATGGAAATGTTTTTTGAAATATTACATTATTTTAAAAATGTATCCAAAAATATCCAAAAATATTAAGTTGAAGCCTCTCTTGGTGTTAAATGCATGGAGTCTTTTAAACCAGAAACACACTCACCATCTGATTAATGTAGATTAATGTCACGCAGTGATTGTCTCATAGTCAAAACAATCTATTAGGCTGTATACCAGATACACACTGGACTACACTCACTAAACATTAATCCCTGCACTACCTTAACACTAACCATTAATCACTGCGCTACCTTAACACTAACAATTAACCACTGCACTACCTTAACACTAACAATTAACCACTGCACTACCTTAACACCAGACTACACTAACCATTAACCACTGCGCTACCTTAAAACCAGACTACACTAAACATTAACCCCTGCACTGCCGTAATACTGAACAATAAACTATACACTACTTTAACACTTACTCTTACACTAACCATGACCTAAGAATATCATTTAATATAAAAGATAACATGATTATGAATGTACAACAACCGCAAAGCGTGTATTGGGGAAAAATAATGCCATCTCAGAGTTCTAGAGATATTTATAAAATCAGGTTTAAATCATATATAAGCCACCTTCAGTTTCATGGTTTACTATTGTCTCCAGGATTCTTCCTTATTTTCTCATAATACACAGCTCGCTGTAATGTATCCTCTATTGTACACCTGAGAGTATAACACGTCTCTTTTCTAAAATATTATATTTGCATCACTTGCAAATACTTTATGTACTTTAAAACGTGAAAAAAAAAACTACTTTGTACAATCAAAAATGACATTATAATGAATGATTCTTTATAAATATGATAATTTATAGAGGTTTTACTTGTAAAGAAGCCTTAGTAGTGTATCGGCCATTCTATACAAAAGTATAAACAAATCTGATCCTTCAGAGCCGGGTTCTACAAATTCTGTCCCTATAGATGTTGCTGAACTACAACTCTCATGGTACTCTGGCTATCTACTTCATTCAAAGAATAATGGGAGTTGTAGTTCAGCAACATCTGGAGGGACAGTGTTTGGAGAACCCTCCTTTAGAATATCGGTTTTGTCCACTAGGTTGCGCTACTCGACACCCGCTGTCTTGCTAAGCACTTGTTTTTGAAAAGACGAGTCTATATGTATATATTTTTTTTTTCATTTTAAACCATAATTTTTTAACATATAAACTGCTTGATTATTTTGTCAATTCTTTCTTAACTGCTTCAGTGCTGAAGAGATCACGAAAATTTACTTGAACAAATATATGTTTTATTTATCTTGATAGAAGTGGGTATTAATCTTTGATGAGTAGTACACAAGCGCTTAGTTAATGCCACGTAAATGTTATGTTAATTAATGTAGGTTAAATAATTAAAAATAAGTATTTTACATGACTTTCTTCTGGAACTTCACCATTTTGGAGGTCAGAGGGTATCTCCTTTTCCTGTGTTAAATAGAGTTGAGAAAAACCACTTAATAGTAAATCATCACAGTTACGTAAATTGTGCCTCAGCAAAAAAATCTTAAATCACATGATTCAGGTTGAGCCTGGAAGAGAATATAAAGTTAATATGGATCCAATTTGTTTTCTATATGTGACCTTGTGTTCCCTAAAGTGTAAAAAGTCAGGAGTTCAGAATTTATTCAAAGTGAATTTAAACTTTATCGTCAAAATACCAAAACTGAAAACATAGGTGACTTAGTGAATTTTTCTAACTTGTTTGTTTTGGCCTCGTATTTGAAATTTACTTTAAATTCTCTGTAAATTCCTGGCAAGTCACCCTTTTGTATTTATTACTGTTTGACGTTTTTGCTATATCTGAAATCGTGGAGAATTGACAAAGAATTTAAAGAAATCGCATGCACTTGACTCCCAATGCTTTCTTATGGGAAATGATTGGCCTGGCTGAGATCATCGATCTTGATGACCGTAACCAAAAAGGTGGAACGGCACACCAAAAAACAGCACCGTAAGTAAGAAAAGATAAGTAACAGTACTTTTTGTTTCCATGCAAGTGGGGGGCAGGTCTCCTAAACGGCCACTGCTAGGCAAACACATTGTATTCATAATAATATAGTGCTTTTTTATCTTAGTTATTTTGGTTTCAAATTCATAATTGACTTGTCAGTTCATATCAAATCCTGTAAAAAAAAAATAAAAATAAAAAAAGTTTTTTTCCCAATGATAACAAGCTCCTCGGAGTTGATCATTATTCCATTAGGTCCACGTTTGTCATAGAGGCTATGTTGGCCACTCTGTGTGACATGGTTTTCTTTATCTAATTCTGCTGAATTAGCCCTACAATTTCAGTCGTAGCACGTAGGTAAGACAGGTGTTGTCATCATTTTCCTAGTCTGATTTTTTTTTTTTGTCTCAAGCCAGAGTGGCAGGTACCTTAATGGTTTCGTGTTGTAGCAGACAAAAATCAGAGAAGCAAGTGCAATATTTTCATAACCAGCTTGTAGCGCATCATGGATTACCAAACATGACAGACCTTGTCTCTACCCTTTTTAAATATAAAAACCACAAAAAGAACACTTCTGAATTATTACAGATTTGGGACCTGCCATGTACCTCAAAGTTATAATACAGTGTATTTTTAAATATAAAAAACATTGTACATAAAAAATACATTGTCACAAAAAATAAGGTTACTGACTAAAAAAAAAACAGAAATAAATCTAATGCACTTGAAAACAATACCTATTCTTTTAATCGATGGTAATGGAAAGAAGAAAGATCATCTATCACATGATTGGCATTTACCATTTTCACAGACACCAGAATACATCATGGCCATAGGTGCTTATTATAGGCACTAACAAGGTGTTATAAATGTTGAAATTGCTTTGTGGGTTTAAGTATAATTCTACATGGTGTATGATTATTTTTACGCTCGATAGCATGTATTTTCAAATCATAAAAACACCATTTTATTGCACAGGAGTTTGAAAATAAGTCTACCTAGATTAAACACTTGGAGTCAGATCATTGCCAGGAGAGCCAATTCTACTTCAGGTTCTACCTCAAACATACTTAATTTCCCCTATTCAACCAACAGCCCCATTTCAATTCTTTTCTCCTACTTAGTCCTGTTTCCTTTTCAACTTCACCGCACAAGTCTCATTACAGCTTTCCCTCTCCCGTTTCAATTTAAATTCCACTCTTCCACCTTTTTTGCTAATTTTTAATGTTCTGGATGGAATCTTACGTATTTTTTCAATTAACTTTCAGTTAAGGTCTCTCATCCAGTTCACCATTCAATTAAAGAGTTCCCTTTCCAACTCCATCCAACTGCATCCTACAATCTTCTTTTATCTGTGACTCCAGAGGCACAATAAACATTAATAGCTGTTCTTTACTGGGGTTTTATCCTTATGACAGGTATTGGTTTATCAGTTATCAGAAAAATTTAAACGGATAACCCTAAAAATTACACAACCAATAACATAGACCAAACTTGTTTCAAACTTCCCTTTTGCAATACCTGTGTTAGAACACATTCCTATGCGTTGACTCATATTGAGACGTTTTATGATTACCAGACATTTTGCCAGGAACACAGGTACCAAATAAGATCATTCATTGACTTTATGTCTGTAACAGACAATAACAGAAAACAGACAGGACCTAACAGATACTAATAGCAACACAGTGAAGAAGACTTTATCAGACACGGGTGTCATTACAAAGAATACACAAATGCATTATCTATAAATCTAACATGTTTAATTATTTTCTATAAAATAGTAAATAAATGACAGACCTGAAAAAAAATATAAATGTAAATGTTTAATGAGATATCATTTATGTAATAGGGTATGAAATCCAAATATTTTATTTGCACCTCACTGCAGTCATAATATAATAACGCAAAGGATATTCATATACTGTGAACGTATCTCGATACACTATGTTGGCAGAGAACTCTGGGAATTGTATTCTAAAAATAGCATGAAGGACCAAAGCAATGGATATCTTTGCTCTGCTGGGGACATTTTTGTATAACCCATGTCTTGCAACAAACTGTACATATTACGTCAGCTCGAGGAATGAGCTGAAAAACCAGGACGGCTTGGTGCCAACTGGCATCACTTGTGGTATTAGATATTAAACTCACAGCAGGGATAAAGCACCACTGATAAGTCCAGTAACTGAGGTCGACAATCCCATCTCACTGGGAATCGAAGGCAAGGAATTTACCAATAACCACGGCAAGATTAGAGGAGTTAAAGGAAGTAATTCAAAGTGGATTTAATTTGAATTTCATATTTAAAACCAAATTTTTAGAATTTTTTTTCAAATAATTTTAATGAATTTAGATACATTATAAACTATAATAATAACAAAGATACAATGAACTGTATAATTTGACAAAGTCAATAATACATGAATAATATAAACAAAAACAAACCAGAACCAGGGAATATTGACAATAGTATACATATCAGAAATAATTACTGTAAATTGTTATAAAAATAAAGAAGAAAATAAATATTTACTAAACAAAAGTAAAATCAAATGTCATATAGAACATGGTAAATCTTTTGTCAAAAGCAACTGTTCCGTCAGATGGAAACATGGTCAAAGTTTGTATTGTCATCTCAGTCATCCTTTTTTATAATTTGGCTAGATTGGCCTAAAATTAAAAATTCACTCTGAATTCACTTTGAATTACCAGCAATTCTAATTTTAGTGCATAACCATGTAAATAATATATCAGCTTTTGCCCCCCGGTGTGCCTAATTACTACACCAACAACACACATTAAAGGAGCACTATTGTCACCTAAACAATTTTAGCTTAATGAAGCAGTTTTTGTGTATAGATCATGCCTCTCAGGTTTTACTGCTAAATTCACTGGCATTTAGGAGTTGAATTGTTGTGTTTCTGTTTATGCAGCCTTTGCCACACCTTCCCTGGCTCTGATTGACACAGCCTGCATGAAAAAAAATGGTTTCACTTTCAATCAGATGTAAGTTACCTTAAAGTACCACTATAGTGCCAGGAAAACATACTCGTTTTCCTGGCACTATAGAGCCCTGGGGGTGCCCCCACCCTCAGGGTCCCCCTTCCGCCGGGCTGGATGGAGAGGAAGGGGTCAAACTTACCTCTTTCTCCAGCACTGGGCAGGAACTCTCCTTCTCCTCTCTGCCTCCTCTCCTCCTCTTCGGCTGAATGTGCATGCGCGGCAAGAGCCGCGAGCGCATTCAGCCAGTCTCATAGAAAGGCATTTACAATGCTTTCCTATGGACGCTGGCGTCTTCTCACTGTGAAAATCACAGTGAGAAGTACGCAAGCGCCGCTAGCGGCTGTCAAGAGACAGCCACTAGAGGCTGGATTAACCCTAACATAAACATAGCAGCTTCTCTGAAACTGCTATGTTTATAGAAAAAAGGGTTAACCCTAGCTGGACCTGGCACCCAGACCACTCCATTAAGCAGAAGTGGTCTGGGTTCCTATAGTGGTCCTTTAAACAAGTATATCTCTTGCTATGTAAATATAACTTTAAACACATATAGGAGGCTCTTGCAAAGTCTAGCAAGCTATTAACATAGCAGGGGATAAGAAAAACTTAATTAAACAGAACTTGCAATAAAGGAAGGATAAACTTTAGATGGCTCTTTACAGGAAGTGTTTATGGAAGCCTGTGCAAGTCACATGCAGGAAGGTGTGACTAGGGTTCATAAACAAAGTGATTTAACTTCTAAATGGCAGATAATTGAGCACTGAGACTGCAGGGGCATGTTCTATACACCAAAACTGCTTCATTAATCTAAAGTTGTTTTGGTGATTAAAGTGTCCCTTTAATATTTATTTACTGTAAATACTACTCCAAATAAAACAATAAAAGTTCTTGCAAATTATTCATTTCAACTTGGGGAGTGGTTTAACCCCTTAAGGACCAAACTTCTGGAATAAAAGGGAATCATGACATGTCACACATGTGATGTGTCCTTAAGGGGTTGGGCAACTGTCACATCAAAACTATGTTTTAATGTAACCATCCATTGATCAACCTTGAATCCCCATGCTAGAGAGCTGGTTGTAAGTGTGATCCATCGTTAAACAGGTAGGTCATAAAGTGAGGACCACCTGTACTTCATTTTAAAGAAAATCAATTTCCTTTCAAAACCTGATTATATTAAAATAGTGTTGAGTTGACAGTGGTTGCTTAAGCCATGGCGCTTGCTCAATAAATAGGCAAAGTTGTAAGGAATGTGAGTTTGATGCATGCATGGTCTGAATCACAGGGCAGTAAATATACCCACGTGATATCTTTACCTTAGAGCTCGGTGGTGGAGCCAGGCCAAAGAACACATGTATTTCATTCCCTTCTTTGGCATCAAAGAAAGATTCAAAGTCCTGAAAGAAAAAAATGCTTTGCATTTATAAAATAGAATTTTTATTATGACTTTAATAATTCACATAGTTATTAACTAAAGTGGGAATTTCAAGTGAATTTAAATTTTAGATCAAAAATGCTAAACTGGAAAAGTCTCCGAGTCACCTTTCAGCTACATTGGCCTTAACATTGAAATTAACTTTGAATTCACCTTGAAATTTTACTTCAGTAAATAACTTCAGTAAATAACTCTGACTGTGTCTCATAAAATAAATCACACACAATATACATTTGGTATAGTGTACAAAGAACAGGTTTTACACATTATGCTTATTTTCTCCATATTGATGATGGTGGTCACTCCACTTTATAAGTAAGCAATCAACTTATTATAATATACCTGTTACTGTAATATTTAGAAAAAATATCAAAGTATAAATATCTGCAAAATGGGATTTCTCTTAGCAATTAACTGAGAGTGGAGATTCTTACATTTTTGTGGTCTTAAAACTCACCAATGTCACTATACATCATCGAAATTCTCATGTGTCACCTTGTTTGCAGTTTATGCAGATTTTGCCATGCAAAATAATATTTCATCACTTACACATCATCATCCCCTAATATCTCAGTCCTTACCCCACAGTATTGGTCCTCGTTGAATATCTGGGGTGGGAGAGGAATTCCATTCTGTGGCTTTTTTTCACCCGGAACATTGTCTCTCATCCACTGTCGGTTATCATCATTACACGCGATATCTTTCTGTTCAAAGTCAATTCTGTTTGCTTCCAAGAAACCGAGCACCTCCTGTTGCTTCTTTTTTATCTGTCCATCGGTAATACAATGAAAAAGTTATCACTGGACGTTTGATGGGTTTTTAACTTTAAGTGCTTGTTTTTGTTTGGGTAGTTTATTCTTGTCTTGGTTTTACAACATGAAAAAATAAAATTTTAATATAATTTCCATCCACTGCCGTTACTTGCCATGTCTTTAAAAATAAAATCTGGAGCAACCTACACCTACATTTTTTAATCACAATGTTACATTAAATCATCTCAGTACAATGGGGGAACTAGAGGCAATAGCATACACTAAACAGTATGACATAATAGGCATAACTGAAACATGGTGGGATGAGACACATGACTGAGACATGATTTAAGAATGCTTTCCTATGGACTGACTGAATGAGCGCGCGTTTCTTGCCGCGCATGCGCATTCAGCCGATGACGTTGGAAGGAAGAGGAGAGTCCCCAGCGCCGAGGGAGAAAGGTAAGTGTTTAACCCCTTCCTCCAACTTCAGCCCAGTGGGAGGGGGGCCATGAGGGTGGGGGCACCCTCAGGGCCCTAAAGTGCCAGGAAAACGAGTTTGTTTTCCTGGCACTATAGTGGTCCTTTAAATGACACCTTCATGTCACAATTATACAAGCACCAACTTGAAAGGACGCTTCTCTGGACCTGATTTTAACAAACAATGTTGATCTTTTGACCAACATTCAAGTAAGTGAGCACTTGGGAAATAGTGATCACAATATAGTGTCTTTTGAAATAAACTCAAAAAAACTAAAGCACATGGGGTATACTGAAACATATAATTTTAAAAAGGACAATTTCTATAAGTTAAGGGCAGTTTTAAAATGTATTGACTGGCATAAACTCTTTAGTGAAAAGAACACTGAGGATAAATGGAACATCTTCCAACAAATATTAGAAAGGTGCATTTCTCAGTATGTACCATGGGTAATAAATATAAAAGAAACAAATTGAAACCAATGTGGCTTAGTAGAGAAGTAAAACAAGAGATTAAAAATAAGTAAAGGGCATTTAATGCATTTAAATTGGACAAATCAGATGCATCCTATAAAAGATATAAGGAATAGTGATGTCCCGAACGGTTCGCTGAACGGTTCGCCGAACGGTTCGCCGAACGGTTTGCCGAACGGTTCGCGAACGGTTCGCCACGAACGGTTCGCTACAGACTCATCATTGAGTAAACTTTGACCCTGTACCTCACAGTCAGTAGACACATTCCAGCCAATCAGCAGCAGACCCTCCCTCCCAGACCCTCCCACCTCCTGGACAGCTCACTAAGAATGCAGCTTCACAATGAATGTAAAATGGATGCTGTCCAGGAGGTGGGATGGTCTGGGAGGGAGGGAAGGTCTGCTGCTGATTGGCTGGAATGTGTCTGCTGACTGTGAGGTACAAGGTCAAAGTTTACTCAATGATGAGTCCGTGGCGAACCGTTCGGCGACATCACTAATAAGGAAGCCAATAATGCGTGCAAAAAGGTGATTAGATTCGATAAACTTCAAAATTAAAAAATGATAGCGAAAGAGAGCAAAACCAACCCCAAAGCATTCTTTAAGTACATAAATAAAAAAAAAAAATGAAAGTGTAGGTACACTAAAAACTGGAATGGGGGTGTTAGTTAATGAAGACCAGGAAAAGGCTGACATTTTAAATAACTATTTCTCCTCCATAAATACTAAGGAAGAACCCATAGCAATAGATGTGCAAATAATTGCTGCTAAAAATGTGCAGAATAATTGTAATTGGTTAACTCAAGTTGCTGCAGCAACTAAAGAAAGTTGATATAAACAAAGCTCCTGGCCCTGACGGTATTCACCCAAGAGTACTTGAGGAACTAAGTGTAGAAATAAGTGAACCTCTGTTTTTAATCTTTCAAGATTCTTTTCTTTCAGGAAGTGTTCTGAAGGATTGGAGCAAGGCAGATGTGGTTCCTATATTCAAAAAGGGTTCAAAATCCTTGCCTGTAAATTATAGACCTGTGAGCTTAACTTCTGTGGTTGGGAAAATATTTGAAAGGTTATTAAGGGATAATATTCAATAATTCCTTGAGAAGAACATGGTTATCAGCAAAAATCAGCAAGGTTTTATGAAGCACAGGTCATGTCAAACTAACTTGATTGCGTTCTATGAAGAAGTAAGTAGAAGTATAGATCAGGGTGTTGCAGTGGATCTGATCTATTTGGATTTTGCCAAGGCATTTGATACAGTTCCACACAATAGATTAGAGTTCAAACTCAAGAAAATCGGTCTAGATGAAAAAGCTTGTTATTGGGTAGAACATTGGCTTAAAAATAGAGTACAAAGAGTTGTCATTAATGGTACATTTTCAAGGTGGACAGAGGTGGCAAGTGGTGTCCCTCAGGGTTCTGTTCTGGAACCCCTTCCATTTAACATATTTATAAATGATCTTGAAAAAAGCATTGAAAGTCATCTTTCAGTGTTTGCAGATGACACAAAACTCTGTAAAGTAATACAAGGTGGCTGATGAAATTTAATGTTGAAAAATGCAGACAGAACAAACGATCATAGAAGATGGAGCAAGCAGGTCTAGACCTCTTACAAAAATCATACCATAACATGAACAAGGAGGCTTTCTCTGTGACCAAGGCAACTATAATTCCTTGATCATCGCATAGAACAGGGATAAGCAACCTTTGACACTTCAGATGTTGTGAACTATGTCTCCTTTAATGCTCTTACAGCATAGTGCTGGCAGAGCATCAGGGGAGATGTAGTCCAAAATATTTGGAATGCCAAAGGTTGCCTACCCCTGTCACAGAACATGGAGGAGCCAGGAGATTGTGGTGTGTTGGTTAAATCCTCGTAAACCATGAAGGGTACATATAAATGCTGTAAAACCACACAATCTTATAACATAAAGGAGGTATCTCTATACTGTGTAACAAATTCATTTCACAATATAAAGCCAATGTATGTGTACTGTATAAGCTAATTATTGTAGCATATAAAGGATATATCTGTGAACTATATAACCAACTCATTTTATAATATACAGACGATTTTAAAACACTGCATGATCAAATCATCTTATAATATAAAAAAAATTCTAAACTTTATAACCAAATCATATTATAACATTCATATATCTATACACTGCATAACCAAATCATCTTATAACATACAAAATTGTATATACTATATGACCAAATCGTCTTATGACATAAACATATCTGTATACAGCTTAACCAAAATATCTGATAGCATTCAAATATATCTATATACTGTATGTCCAAATCATCTTATAATATAAAAATATATCTATATAAATACTATATAATAAATCATCTTCAAAATGTTAAAATATATATCTATACTGTATATACAAACCATCCTATAACATTAAAATATATCTAAATACTGTATGTCTAAATCATCTTATAACATAAAAATATATCTATATAAATACTATATAATAAATCATCTTCAAAATGTAAATATATATAGATATATATATATATATATATATACTGTATATACAAACCATCCTATAACATTAAAATATATTTATATACTGTATGTCTAAATCCTCTCATAACATAAAAATCCTTCCCATGACGTACTTGGAAACCAGAGTAATCTGAATGTACCTTTCCTGGTTAAATACTTTGTTATTATTATTATTATTATTATTATTATTATTATATACTGTATGTCCAAATTATGTTATATACTATATGTTCAAATCATCTTCTACAAATGTGTCTATATACTGTATAACCAAATAATCTTATAAAAATATATCTATATACTCTAGTTTTCTCATCTTCTGATAATTTGAGATATCTATACAATATATGAATAATTAATATTATAATATAATGGAGACCTCTGTGCACTATATGGCCATGTCATTTTATAACATAAAATAGATATGTTTATGCTGTTTGATAAAAACATTTTACAATATTAGGGAGATATCAGTTCACTATATGACCAAATATTTTGCATTAACCCCTTAAGGACCAAACCTCTGGAATAAAAGGGAATCATGACGTCACACATGTCATGTGTCCTTAAGGGTTAAAAAGGAAATATCTATACATGGTACGATCATATTACCTTGTAAAAAAGGATATAACTTTACACTGTGCGAACTCTTCTGAGATATCTGCCTTCTAATAAGCATAGAATATTTAGGAGATAGCTATACATTCTTTCACCAAATATTCTCATAATATAAAGGAGATATTTACACACTGTATGAACAAGCCAGCATACAACATGAATACAATTTTTTTTAATTCACCCTACTTTTTTAGTAATATGTAAGAAAAAGTTTGAACTACTTTTTCTCACAGAGAGCATGAACTTTGGCAAACCTTGGCAAACCTTAAGCAAAGTTCAGTTGCTAAGTTAAAGGGACACTATAAGTACCATAACAACTTCAACATAGTGAAGCAGTTTGGGTATATAAATCATGCACTTGCAGTCTCGCTGCTCTTATTCTCTGCCATTTAAGAGTTAAGCCACATTTATTTCTGGTATGCAGCCCTAGCCTAGCCCGCCAATAGATTTTTATTTTCAATCAAGTTATTTTTCACCTGCTCTGTAAATAGAACTTTAATCACATACAGCAGGCTCCTGCAGGGCCTGGCAGGCTATTAACAGAGCAAAAGATAAGAAATTCCAAATTAAACAGAATGTGCAATAAGGGAAGTTTAACCCCTTAGTGACCAGACCGCTTTTCAATTTTCTTACCGTTAAGGACCAGGGCTGTTTTTACATTTCTGCTGTGTTTATGTTTAGCTGTAATTATATACAGTTTTTCTCACCATTAAATGGTCTTTCTCAAGATACCATTATTTTCGTCATATCATATAATTTACTATAAAAGAAAATTATAAAATATGATGAAAAAATAAAAAAAAACACTTTTTCTAACTTTGACCCACAAAATCTGTTACGCATCTGCAACCCGCCAAAAAACACCTGTGCTAAATAGTTTCTAAATTTTGTCCTGAGTTTAGAAATATCCAATGTTAACATGTTCTTAACTTTTTTGAAAAGTTATAGGGCCATAAGTACAAGTAGCACTTTGCTATTTCCAAACCATTTTTTTCAAAAGTAACGCAAGTTACATTGTAACACTGATATCTCTCAGGAATCCCTGAATAACCCTTCACATGTATATATTTTTTAAGAAGACAACCTAAGGTATTAAACTTGGGGTATGTTGACTCTTTTCATGCAACCATTAAAAATGCAAAAAGCAATTATGAATGCTAACTTTGGCCAGTGTTTGTGACTAAGTGGCTACTAAAAAAGACTGAACATACCCCATTTGCAATACCTTGGGTTGTCTTCTTTTGCAAATGGTATGCCATCATGGGAGTAATTCTCATTCCTGGGCTACCATACACTCTCAAAAGCAACATAACCAATCTGGCGAATTTCAATGTGAAAAAAACGGCCGTATATTTGACCCTGTGACTTTCAAAACCACTATAAAACCTGTACATGGGGGTTACTGTAATAGTCGGGAGACTTCGTTGAATACAAATATTAGTGTTTCAAAACAGTAAAACATTGAGGCATAGCTGCAATATTGCTTCCAGTGCTCTACTTAGCCGCAGACATATCAGTTATGTCCACGGTCCTTAAAGACCATTTTTTTGTCAGACGTACCTGATACGTCCGAAGTCACTAAGGGGTTAAACATTAGATCTCTCTTTACATGTAGTGTCTAGGAAGGCTGTGCGTGTCACATGTGGGGAGGTGTGACTAGGGCTGTATAAACAAAATAATTTAACTCCTAAATAGCAGTGAGAGTGCATGGGTATGATCTATACACCAAAAGTGATAAGTTAAGCTAATGTCTGCAGACATCATGGATAGAGGAGAACAACATGGAGGCACCCAGGTATTTAGATCCACAGTGAGGAAGAATACATAATAAATATAAACAAAGGCAAGTGTCAAAGAGAAGATACTCATTAAGATACAAGGGGGATATACAAAGAAAATCTGAAAGAAAAATATGTGACTGAGTCGCTTTAAGGTACTCAAAATCTGCAGAGAAGAGGGCACAAAGGCTGCAGATATAGGCTGTATGACAAAATGACCATAGAACAGAAAAGAGAAACTGCATACTGCAAATTATCACAAGACTTTAAAGAGACAAATACAGCAATTATGTAGAGAGGAAGACTCTAAGAATTAATTGATATTTACTGAAATTCAAATATATCCTATAAAAAATAACAGCAATATTAACATGATATACTTTAAAAAAACACCCAGTATAAAATATGTATATATTAGCAGCTGTTACAGTATGTTGGTTGGAGGGAGAGATGATTAAAATCATTTCAAACTAGTGTAATATATAAGATTTTATGGAAAGATATCCCACAACGATTGAGTTTTGTTCATAACGAGGCTACTCTGCCAATCACCTTGTTGTAAAATAGAATACAAAGTACAGGCATGAAATCAAGACATATTGGGTTTTGTTTGTTATTGGTGCACAGCTACCCTCTGTCCCTGACAATTCTACATCACATGTCAGTAGCGCCAGTTTTTCAAGTATTCTCACCTAAAATTACACAGCTACATCTGTTAATCCACGTTCTCAGTCAGCCATTCATCACTCCTGTATTGACGCGTCTTGGTCAATTCAGCTGCCTTCGAGGCAATTTTGACGCAATGTCACAAGGTTGCAGTCACATCATTTTGACTATGAACTAACCTAAATGACTTGAGCCAAGACCTTAGCACCTTTTTAAAGGTTTTTGGGCTGGCATCATAAATTGTGTAGTATGCAGACACAGAAATTACGCAAATACGACACAAGGGCCTGGTCTATATAAGCCTCTGTCAGCTTCAGCTCAGCACCCTGGTATTCACAACTTCTAATTGCATTATCCTGTATCAGTCTTCTTGTATCTACGTACCAGACCCAACTTCATTCCTGACTCTGCTTTGTCCTAGTCTTGTGTTCTGTTAACACAATTTATTTGTTTTGTGTTTATTTAGTCCTGATTTTTATGCTGGTTAGTTGAGAAATGATACTTCCTATTTCTATCGAAGCGTTAAGCCCAGCTACTCCAAGGTCCGATAGTACATCTGCTTATCCTTTCCAACTGTACCATTGGTTCATTGTTGACTTATATCTTGCTGAGGATGCTTCCGTATCCTCATAGGCATGCGCACGGGGGTGTGCTGGGTGTGCCTGGGCACACCCTAATCCCGTGGCACGCCTATGTATATTGAGACCGGCAGGGGAGATCTCAGGATCTCCCCTGTCGGCTCATGCAGAGCCGGCGCTATCCGAGCGCCGGCTCTGCTCTCAGCCTCCCTCCCCACTGACCCACATGCAGGGAGTGAGGCAGGAGAGGACCCGGCGGAGCTATTGCCGGCAGCTCCGCCGGGTTCCTCTCGCGAGATATGAGCGTTGCCAGGGCAACGCTCAAATCTCGCGAGAGTGAACTCTAGCCCCACGGGGGCTAGAGTTCACTCTCCACTGGACCACCAGGGATGGAATCAGCAGCAACAAGGATCCCCCCTCCCTACAAAAGGTAAGAAGGGAGGGGGGATAGCAAGTAATGTACCCCCACCTCCACCCCCACAATCACCCACACACATACAGCACACACACACATACAACACCCACAGACATACACAGCACCCACAGACATACACAGCACCTACACACATACAGCACCTACACACATACAGCACCCACACACATACAGCACCCACATACATCACACACACACATACAACACCCACAGACATACACAGTACCCACAGACATACAGCACACACACACATACAACACCCACAGACATACACAGCACCCACACACATACAGCACCCACAGACATACACAGCACCTACACACATACAGCACCTACACACATACAGCACCCACACACATACAGCACCCACATACATCACACACACACATACGACACCCACAGACATACACAGCACCACACACATACACACACCACACACATACAGCACCCACAGACATATAGCACCCACAGACATACAGCACCCACACACATACAGCACCCACAGACATACACAGCACCCACACACATACAGCACCCAGAGACATACACAGCACCTACACACATACAGCACCCACACACATACACAGCACCAACACACATACAGCACCCACACACATACACAGAACCAACACACATACAGCACCCACAGACATACACAGCACCAACACACACACAGCACCCACACACAGCACACAAACAGCACCCTCACACACACACAGCACACTAACAGTACCCTCACAAACACAAACAGGACCCTAACAAACACACACAGCACACTACCAGTACCCTCACACACAAACAGCACCCTCACACACAGTACATTAACAGCACCCTCACAAGCACACACACACACACACAAACAGCACCCTCACACACAGTACATTAACAGCACCCTCACAAGCGCGCACAAACACCCTCACCCACATAGCACACTACCAGCACCGTCACACACACATCACACTACCAGCACCCTCACACAGCGCACACACACACATAGCAGTGTGTGTATGTGTGTATGTATGTGTATGTGTGTGTGTGTATATATATATACATATATATATATACACACATACATACATACATATATGCGGCGTGTGCTTGTGCTTTAGGGTGCACACCCTAATGCAATAGGCTGCGCACGCCTATGCGTATCCTGATAGTTGGGAGCTAAAGTGATTGTGCTACCAAGGTAATGCTAGAGTTTTGCAGAGAAGCCAGGCATGAAAGGTGGATGTGATGTAATTGTTTTAAAACTATTACCATATCACAATGCTGGCTACTGTTATTGTATTACAGTACAAAGAAGCAGAATAAATTATGCTCAATACCTATTTTACCAAGATGAATTTATGGTAGAAATTGTAAAACGGGAACCATGAAGTCAGTAACCACCAAGGAAATTTGTTGAACAATCTGTTTCCTTTCTTTGTAATTAAAACAATATTGAACACAGAACCAGTACTAGAGTATAGTCTGGATTATAATCTGGATAATCAGGAGTGCAGAAGGCCTGGTGAGTGACCAGTTGTGGATTACAATCGCCTGGTATTTTCGTGGCCCAGTCAATTTAATTGAATATAAGAGCTTTACTTTGATGTTTTTGGTGCTAGTTTCCTTAACATGAGCAATTGAGAAGATTTATTAGAAAAAACGTTGTAGACAAATCTTTGCACATGAGCATTGCTCCTCTCTCTTTCCCTGATCTTTTGATATCTATAAAATATCCTTGGATTGCACTGTCATCACCAGGAAAAATTGGAGAATACACAGATCTTTTCAAAGTTCCATTTGTTCAATATATAATAAGAATGCCAAATGATTTCTTAAGAGACTAGAGATGGCTTGTTATTAGAACTCTTCATTGCTCACGGTACCTAGAAGAATATCAGCTATACCTCACTGACGAATAGTGATGTCCCGAACGGTTCGCCGAACGGTTCACCATGGATGGCGAACATATGTGCTGTTCGGTCCGCCCCCTATTCGTCATCATTGAGTAAACTTTGACCCTGTACCTCACAGTCAGCAGACACATTCCAGCCAATCAGCAGCAGACCCTCCCTCCCAGACCCTCCCACCTCCTGGACAGCTCACTAAGAATGCAGCTTCACAATGAATGTAAAATGGATGCTGTCCAGGAGGTGGGAGGGTCTGTTGCTGATTGGCTGGAATGTGTCTGCTGACTGTGAGGTACAGGGTCATAGTTTACTCAATGATGACATAGGGGGCGGACCGAACAGCGCATATGTTCGGCGAACCGTTCGGGACATCACTACTGACAAAGCCTTTCAAGGCTGAAACGATCATCTCGGGTTGCTGTATCTCTTGTGCAGAGAGAACGGGTCTGCATTTTGGATCTGTCCTGCCATTTTGGATGAGATCAGTCTGATATGCAAATGACCCTGGCGCTTTTTGCAATGGCACAAGATGAGCTAAAACCAGCTTGAGATCTGAGCGGGGACCCACCGAGCGGCAGGCTATTTGAGCTGTTGTCCATTCTCAGTACTCTCTTGCACCGTTTTTTTCTCTCTCTCTATATGGAATTTACTAATTTAGATTAAAAAACTGTTTCCATGTGAGAGAGAGATTGACACAGTAAGAGAATGTTAAGTGTGGAGTCTCTTCCTATGGAAAAAGGGGAGGGCTTGCTAAGATTTGCAATTTTTTCAAGCGCTTTAAGATTTACCCACAATGAATACATGCATGAAAACAATCATGTGTTTATTCATTGGGGTATATATATTAAACAGTGATTTCAACTTTTTTGGCCATTTGAGTAGTGATGTGTTCCTTTAAAATGAGGCCTAACTGGTGTTTCCCTTGTTAATATTGAGATGTTGAGCTCAATAGGCTGAAATTAGGAGGTTATAAAAAAACTGCTTTCTTTTCAGACATTTTTATAATACTACAGGTTGAACATTACACACAGTCATCTGCATTATTGATGCTAATAAGAGACAGGCGTAACTAGAAATCACTGGGCCCCGGTGTGAAAATTGCCCCCATAGCCTCTCCATGCATCTCATTACCTTTCCCATAGTTCCTTTATACATCTCATCCCCCACCCCCCACATAGCCCCTCCATGCTTCCCACTCCTTCCTAGCCCGGCATGTCATTTCCTCCCCAGTCCCTCAATGCATGTCATTCCCCCCCCCAAGTTCCTCCATGCATGTCATTTCCCCCGCAGCTCTTCCATGCATGATATCCCCCACCCACAACCCTTCATGCATGACATCCCTATGCCTTAGTTATTGATTTTGCTGTTTTATATTATAAAAACAGTGCGTATGTGTATGTTAAAGAAACACTAAAGGGTCAGGAACATGAACATGTATTCCTGACCCTATAGTGTTAAAAACATAATTTTGATCCCCCTGCCCCCTCTAAATATAGTAAAATCTTAAGTTTGTTCCAGTCTGCTGCAGCCGCTGGCTCTTCCCTTGATCTGCCTTCTTGGCTGACATCATCAGAAGTGATGATCTGAGCCAATCACAGTGTTTTCCCATAAGAAAGCATTTGATTGGCTGAGCTTGTCAAGGAAGCAGATCGGGGCAGAGCCAGCACAAGCCAAACACACAGCCCTAGCCAATCAGCATCTCCTGATATAAATGCATTGAATCAATGGATCTCTATGAGGAAAGCTCAGTGTCTATATGCAGAGGATTGAGACTGTCAGTCACATTGTGCAGCACTGCACCAAGAAGAACCTCTAGCAGCCATCTGAGGAGTGGCCAATGGAGGTATTCCTAGGCTGTAATGTAAACACTGCATTTTTTCTGAAAATCCTGCAGGGAATGATATTCCTCACCAGAACAAATACATGGTTCTGGGGACTAAAGTGTCCCTTTAACACTTTTAATTGATTAATTAGAAATTGGTAAAGTATTGTTGAAGAGTATTGGAACGGTGAGATTGTAATTATTTCAACATCATTAACAGCTCTTTAGTAGCCATTAGTGTGTCTATAAGTATCAAATGGTAGATTAGAATATACCCCAACATTAACAGATCAGAGCACTGGCGGATCCGGGAAGGGGGGGAACAGGGCAATTGCCTCCCCCCTACCACCCGAGGCTCTCCCCTGCCAGCTAATGCAGGGCTGGCACTGTCCAAGTGCCAGCCCTGCAATGTGTCTTCAAGGATCTCCCTCCCCGGTCCGCAGGCACCGTGCTGGCACCCAGCAGGGGAGGGAGAGAGGAACTGGAAGCTCAGCATGCAGCTCCTCCGGGTCCTTCTCTCGCGAGCATGGAGCATTGCCGTGGATCTCGCGAGATTGAACTCTAGCCCTAGAGCTACGGGCTAGAGTTCACTCTCACCACTGCGACCACCAGGGATTCCCCACTGGACCACCAGGGATCGATAAAGGCCCCCCTCCTTCCTCAGTAAAGGTAAGAAGGGAGGGGGGACATACATTTATTTATTCTTATTTTTAAATATAAAAATGCCCCCCTACTCTCCTCACCACACATTACCAAACTGCCCCCCCACACACATTGCCCCCCATACACACACTGCCCTACACTTACACACACAGCCCCACATACACACATTGCCCCATGCACACATACACAGCCCCCATACGCACACTGCCCCCTACACACATACACTGCCGACCCATGCACACACTGCCCCCATACTGCCCCCATACACACATTGCCACCACACACACTGCCTACACACATTGCCCCATGCACACATACACAGCCCCCCCATACACACACTTCCCCCCACACACATACACTGCCCCCATACACTGCCCCCACACACACATACACTGCCCCCATACACACATTTTCCCCACACACACACACATACACTGCCCCCATATACACACTGCCCCCACACACACCATACACATTCACATACTGCCCCCTACACACACATTGCCCCACACACATACACCTTTATACATCTCATCCTACCCTCCCCATGGCCCCTCCATGCTTCCCACTCCTTCCTAGCCCCGCATGTCATTTCCCCCAGTTCCCCAATGCATGTCATTTCCCCCTCAGTTCCTCCATGCGTGTAATTTCTACACACACCCCCACACACCATACACATTCACATACACACATACACTGCCCACCCATACACACACTACACCCCCCCACACACACACACACACTGAACCTTTCACACACTGCACTCCTCATACAGACCACTGCTCATATGCCCTACTACAGCCCCATATTACAGCAGACCCCAGTTAAGTTGTCAAACTGTTCTTAAACTGTTTGACTACTTACTCTGGAAGGGGTCCTGGCACCATAACCACTACACAGAGCTGTAGTGGTTATTGTGCATGGATTATTTATTTAAATAATCTACAAGAGCCCCTCCCGAGATTAGGCTCTGGTTTTGCCACTGGGTCAGAGACCATGAAGAAGAAAGCTATGGACCGCAAAAGATACTAACAAACAACATGAAGGACTTAGTTGCGCACCCTATAAACAAATCTGCAGTGCATCGTATCAACAAATCTTCAAAGGACAGGAGGGATGCCTTTATGCACAATATGATTAAATCAATTTTATGTCAAAATCAATATTGTAACTGAGTAGATTTGAAGAACAGGGATTCTTAATTTAAAGGAACACTCCAAGCACCATAATCTCTGATCATAATAATAACTGCATATAGTTTTCTGCAGGAGAAGACAGATATAAGAACATGGCCAATACAGGAGGATGTTCATTGGCTGAGAGTGATTCGGCTGATTTGGGCTAGTCAGATGTTTGGTAGAAATTCTGAGCTTGGAGCCAAAATATACCTGAATTTTACAACATGACAGGAGGCTTCATATTTTGCATATCTTTCTTTACTGTAAACTTCAGCAGCAAAGATCAATCATAAAGTTTAAACCAATCAGAATAAATGACACAAGTATGTAGCAGGTAGTATGACCCCGCCTCTTCCTCTTTCTTTGCTGCTTCAGCTGCAACAGGTTTTTGCTCTCTCTGTATATTTATACTGTTTGATCTTTATTGTGACTCTATTCTGCTTTATTTTCTACTTATTCTTACCTTCCCTAGCTGTCCTACCCTCCTATTGAGTGCCTGGCTCTTTGTTTTATTTAATTCCCTATTTTACATTTGTGTCTGTTTCTGTTATTTATCCTGTAAGGAGCTGCCTTTTAGTTTAGGCCTAGCTCCCTCTCAGATTTTCTACTGCTTTTGCACACTGGGCCGGGATTAGAGGGTAGAGGGGTAGCTGTGGTAGTGTTTTGCCACTCGCTCAGACCGTAGGAGTTGTTCCTGCTTGGTCCTTGTGCGCGGCAGCCATTTTGGATCTCATTTTGCTGCAAGATTCACGGCGGCCATCTCGCTGTTTCACCGAGCTAGATTAGGACTGCCCAGGATCTCCGGCTAAACAGAATTTAACTACCTGCTCACAGGACCCTGCAGGATTTCACCTACTCACCAGGTGCTTCTACAATTTATAATTTTATAAACAACTATTATTGCATTCACTGCAATTACAGTTGTGAGGATTTAATATATATTTAATGTGCCTACCTGTGCAATCTGAACTACTGCACACAGAGGTGTACCCCTACAGTACAATTGGGACGAACCCATTTGTCCCAATACACCACACGGAAAGGAACCACATATGGGTACACCCCTCTATTGGTACCATTAACCCTCTCCAAGGGATTGCCAGCATGTGGTCATAACAGACTGTGATCCGACATACCTTGGTACCTACCCAGTCTTACTGGGTGCATCGGGGCAACCCGTTGCCTCTGAAAGCTTTCAGCATTCAGGGTGTCATCCCTTGACATACAAGCCGCTCATAACGACTGGCAGTGGCGGGTGAACCCGTACATCCTATGCAATACCTACTTATCATGTCTCAGTGGTTGGTGACATTGATTTACACCGGGTGACCCCGAGTGTACTGACTAGGGTACTTCCTTCCAGGCCAGATAACAGACTGGCTACTAATTTCTGGTCCTCTCATCCGCAAGAGCCTCCATATATCCTATCTTGGCCATGTGCCTTATGGTATTCTATAGGGGTGAACCCCCCTTTACTAATGGAGACTTCCAGCATCTTCCCATATTAAGGGTATCAACCCCTTGCATATATTAGCCGCTTGTTTCAACCGGCTGTGGGTGGTGAGTCCTAATAATAATTAATTAAAGGCACCCTTACGTGTATACCTCGGTGGTTCACACTATCTACTGTATCCAGGATTTAAGATGGAGGCGCTTACTTCAATTCAATGTACTTTATACCATTGTGACCGAATGATACCATTTACAACCTAAAGAGAGTGGTATACAGTGTATACAATGGAACTTTTCTGGTGCCTATTTGTACAGACTATCTGGTACAGCTGTGAGAAGGACTATACACTCCGACTTCAGTGACTCACCACCCAACCACAGGATTTCCAGTCCATGATACGAGCTGCAGTAGCAGCATCAATGGAGAAGGCACTCTCCAAAAGTCCTCACACAACCTCCTCCTGAGGTCTCTTCACAAGCCGTGGGCATGCTGCCTCCATGTGATTATGACATGGTAGGCTCAGATGTCTCCAACACTGATGCACCAGCCGTGGTCAAACCCCACTAGGACAAGAATAAGAATAAGGCTAAGCACCCTAAATGACCAGCGATGTCAGAACCTGTGATATTCTCTGGGGAAGACAATGGCTTCCGTGCTTCTGGCCTAGACATCTTGGACGCATGGCGGGTGGAAAACTCTGCATCTGGTGATTCCTAGACACCCAGGGATGCCTCACATTTGATCTAAGGACCATATGACACCCGAGATCCTTGGAGTGGTTTCAGCCTTCTCATCTGGACAAGATTGTCCACTAGGGGAATCGTAGGCCATTCAGGAGTGGGCACTGCGCAGCATCTGCCATCTAGGCAACTCCAATGCTACCTTGTGTACCAAAAGGCGCAGAACTGTATTACTCCAGATTGTCACCACGCTGATGGACATGACTATAAAAGAACTCGGCTCTTCAGCAATGGTTTCCTGTTCGGTGAGGCCTTCATCCACAAGCTTAAAAAGCATGTCTCACTCTTCACTACCTTGAACAAGGCCCAGGCTTCGATGGAGCAAGTGTTCCGCTGTGCTCCACCAAGAGATGTTTTTGAGAGGGCTGAGCCAGAAAGGTCGAGTCACCTTCCACTTCTGGGCCTCTGACCCTAGGCCTCATCCTCAAGCACCTAATGGACACCTATACAGTGTCAGTAACACTTCCTGTCGGAAATTTTGCAGGCTCCTCTGAAAAGGCGCCATGTGCCAGTTCACCTGCCACCCTTTCGGACTCAGTTTTGCCCCATGGTGCTTCACGAAGCTTCTGAATCCAGTCATGGTCCACCTCCGCTTTCACGGCGTAAAATGTCTGATATAGGTAGACAATTTGCTCATCTTCTTTGACCCATGTTATTGGACAAACTTTGTCGTTGACTTCCTGGAATCCTTAGGTTTCATGGTAAGCCTGGAAAAATCAGTACTAGAGCTGACACAAGTAGTCCAATTTCTGGGATTCAAGATAGTCTTTGCTTCTTGCGTTCTACTCTCTCCCCTCTTGAAGATTGCATCCATATGGAAAGAGATACATGAATTTTCCAGATGGACCGGATCCCAGTCCGACTACTAGCACGTGTTGTGGGCCTGCTGTCCACTTCGATTCAGGCAATCTACAGGACCATGCAGCGCCTCAAGGCTCGTTTTCTCTGAGCAGGTTTCTCCTACGACCACCTGGTACCTCTCAACCCAGACATTCACACAGAACTCCGATGGTGGCTACTGCACATACAGGCCTGGAATGGGAAAGCCATATTGGTCCCTGACTGGATTTTGTGTTAGAATCGGATGCCAGTCTGTGGGGCTAGGGCGCACACTGCGCGGACTTCTCCACCGGTGGTTCGTGGTCAGCAGAGGAAATGGGGCTGCATATTAACTGTCTGGAACTGATCGCAGGCTCGTTTGCAATACGCAGCTTGGCAAAATCCATGTCAGATTGTTGCTTACTACTCCGCATGGACAACATCTCAGCAGTCCAGTACATCAAAATGCTGGGCGGAGCAAGCTCCCAAGCACTTGTGGAGGCAATGAAGGACACTTACACTTTTTGCCTGTCTCACAACATTACCTTGAGGGCAGAATACTTACTGGGCACGTCCAATCTAACAGTGGATTGGTATTCCTGCCACTGGAGAGACAACAGCAACTGGATTCTGCATTCCAAAATTTTTCTGAGCCTGAGTGAATGCAAGGGACCTCTAGTGATAGACCTTTTTGCATTAAGGACCAATTGCCAACTTCCACGGTTCTTTAGTTGGCTCCCTGACCCAAACTGTGAAGTGGTGGACACATTCTTACAGGAATGGCCTTCTCTAGGGGCGTATGCTTTCCCACCTTGCTCCATGTCGGTGAGAGTTCTACACTAACTACGTGGACCAAGGATCTCACCGCTACTGATTGCAACATTGTGGCCTAGCCAAGCATTGTTCCCGGACCTGTTGGAACTGTCCTATGACCATCCACTTCTTCTTCTGAAGTTTTCTGTTTCTACTCTCCAACCCCATGGGGGAACCACATCCTTTCATCCTAAAGGATCATTTAGAAATGATCTTGGATTAATTTGGGGGATCTTGAAATGTCGACGGCCTATCGTAGGCCACTGAAGACCTATTGTAGGACTCATGGGCTCCCGGCACTTGACGCAGTTACCTTGCTGCCTGGAACAAGTGCAATAGCTGGTGTGTGGAGATAGATCCCGATCCCTTTACGACATCTCTACCAGTCGTACTGAGTTTCCGGACGTAACTATTCACCTTAGGTAGTTCATATCGTTCCTTTAACGTTTATCGTTCAGCCATTTCTGATGCCCATATTCCATTTCTCGGTTTGCCGGTAGGGCAAAACCTGCTCGTCTGTCGACTGTTTCGTGGTCTCCAATTATCACGTCCACCTGCTCCGATATATTCTCGGTTCTGGGACGTAGACATGGTCCTTCGATTCATGAGGGATTGGTTGGATAACCCGTTGTTGTCTCTTCACAACTCTCTGCTAAATTGACCCTTTTACTTGTATGGTCTCCTTTTCGTCAGGCTTCGGACGTTCGGGCCTTGGATGTCGACGGCATCTTCTTCTCGACAGTAGGGGTTTCTTTTTCTATTTCGCGTCGGACTAGACTAACTACTTTGTTTTTATATTTTTAATTTATTTTTTACCCTTTTTATCTGGGTTAAGACGTTGTTTCTATACGTGGAGGTTACTTCTTCTCTGCACCAGGCTCTGTCTGGACGATTAATTTATTTTTTTCCTATGTACACCCACATAAACCGGTCTCTTCTGCGACCCTTGTAAGATGGGTAAGATGTTTTTGTCATTAGCTGGCATAGATTCGTGCTTCGGGGCTCATTCTATTAGGGACACATCGTCATTGCGAGCCTTCTCGTTGGGCGGCTCGTTGACTGACATTATGCTCTGCACCGATTGGTCATGGGAAGAAACTTTTGTGTCTTTTACTTTAGACCTACTTCTATGCTTCTTTTACTTTACTCCCTTAGCGTTAAAAATGCAAAATATGTAGCCTCCTGTCATGTGGTAAAATTGTAGATTATGCTAACGTAGTGTACCTATAATCTTAATTTTTTCTTGCCTCTGTCGCTTGTATGTGGCTGTGTCTTTTCCTTTGACATTCTAGGTTATTTTCTATGAGTGGGTTAGTTATATAGTAAATATTGTGTGAATTTGTTTTATTTTACAGTCGTTATAGATATATACATATTCAATTCAATGTAGGTGTTTATGTTGGCAACTCGCTATTACGCTTGTCTATAAATTGTTTTCTGTTCTTTTCAGTGTGAACCAAACGTCTTCTGGCTATTCGGAGTGGCTTAAGCATACTCTTCAACTTTTGGGAACGATCATGTTCTTTATCTCGGTTTTGACTTCAAATGGTTCTTTTGATTACTGAGCTGTTCTTCTCACACCAAAGAAAGAGGAAGAGGTGGGGTCATACTGCCTGCTACATACTTGTGTCATATATTCTGATTGGTTTAAACTTTATGATTGATCTTTGCTGCTGAAGTTTACAGTAAAGAAAGATATGCAAAATATGAAGCTTCCTGTCATTACTAAAATTAAGATTATAGGTACACTACATTAGCATAACCTACAATTATTGACTAACTGAAATGTGCAATGCCAAATATGTGGTAGGGAGGATATCAATATTCTACATTTTGTCCATGGTGCCAATAAAGGATGATCAAACGAAAAAGATTGATTGATGGCTAGCGGACAGTCACTAAATTTTATTCACAGATCACGTGAGTAGTGACCAATAGCGGGAAAAACAGGAGGAGCGGTAAACAACATAAATCTATTTTTATACTTTGTATATTTCATAATTATATATTATTTAAAGATGGATTTATTTTTTTTACTGCTCCTTCCATCTGCTTCTCAGTAGATCTAGCAAAACAATGTACTGCAAAATATATACTTAATGTTACAATATGTATATATTTTGCAGAACATTGCTTAGCCCATTTTCGTGCCTTCTTGGTTTGCTCGTGAGATTCCATTAGCAAGTTGACATTCGGCTGAATTTCTATCTTTGAAAGCAATGATTTGTCAGAAGCCATCTTTCTCACCCTACACAAGTCTACTACTCTCTATATGACAACATTTTCCCAGAGCTAACACGTATCATTAAATCACCATAGAGCACAAATCGCAGTTACATGTTACATGAACAAATCAGCAACACAATGTATGACCAGATCATCATGGGACGTGAACTCATTTATACACTCTATATACACTCTATAAACAAATTAGGAATATGCTGTATGGCCAAACTATCGCATAACATGAAAGAGGCAGCTGCATTCTGTATGAACAAATCAGCAATTTATTGTATGATCAAATCATTATTGATTACAAATCAGACAACCACTCAAAGTAACCGATCTGCAAAACATTGTATGACCAAACCATCATGGATTTAAAAAAATCACACAGCTACACATTATATGAATACTTTTCTAACAACCTACTTCGTACCCCTACTTTTACCCTTTGTGTCAGTATACCTCACTCCCTCTAGAATGTAAGCTCATTGAGCAGGGACCTCCACCTTCCTGTGCGTCCAGTTGTCTGGTTACAATTACGTGTCTGTTAGTCCACCCATTGTACAGCCCTACGGAATCTGATGGCGCTATATAAATAATAAAATAATAATAATAATAATCAGCTATACAATATATGACAAAATCACTATAGGACATGAAGGATGCATCTACACATATGTAGAAAGATATGCCATACATTTATTGATCAAAGTATCATAAAGTACAAAGCACACAGCTCCACATAGTATGAAAAAAGGTCATAGATATGTTGTAGTGCTAAATAGATCTTCACACAATTTGAAGACTATAAAGGATCATAAAACATGTAGTTGACAGAAATGCATCATATATGTAAATAGAATCATAGGACATGAGGGAGCTACAAAGCATAGATACATAGACCATAGTTGGATATACTATATTATAATAAGGTTGTAGTCCATCAAGTTCAGTGTTTCGCATATCTGTGCGAAAAAAAATCATCAAGATATTAAAAAAATATATAGAATCTGATATAAGCAAAAGTTAGGAGAAAATGAAGAAAATACACTAGAAAATGTCTTTCTTTTAAAGAAAGGCACAGTTTTTTGGTGTCCATTAAAACAACATCAAATTGATAATTATTGTAGTTGGAAACGGCTTGTTTTTAATGAAGTACATAGGCCCATTATCAGCAACCATCTGTTCTGTGTTCCAATTGCAAGTTCTGCTTGCTAATCCAAGTTTATCATTTAAAAATGCTAACTGATTATTAAGAAACTCTTTCACAATTATGACCTTGATTTAATATTGTTGGATAAGCTTTCCAAATGATTTCATATTTAGTTTTAAACAAACTTTTCAAATAAAATGTTCAACATATTAAAATAACAAAACATACACTGATAAACACCTACCTAAAATTGTGTAGATCCCCCTAGTACTACTAAAACAGATCTGATGTGTTGAGGCATGGACTTCACAAGATCTCTGAAAGTATCCTGTGGTATCTGGCACCAAGGCATTAGCAGCAGATCATTTAAGTCCTTCTGAGAAATTGACTCTGTGGGGTTTCAAACCCTGATTCCTAGGTTGCTGGTCCTCTTCCTTACCAGTTGGCCAGTATGCATTTTGCAGATTTACCTGAGCTCTGATGACCTTGCCTCTACATGCCATGATATTAGTGCCAATTCTCTTCAGCTGTGTCTGGCCAGCTGTCAGATATTGGCCTATAAAAGGCACTTTTTGTCTATATCTTAGCCAGATTAGTGTGGCTCCTGTGACTCTAATCAAGTCTAATCAAGCTTGTTAAACCCGTTGCTGAATTTGGACCTTCTGACTTTGCTGCTTCTCCTTCCCACTGACCTCACTTACCTTACTACATTACCATCTTTCTGTCCCAGTTTCTCATCTCTGCTTAAGACCAGAGAGCCACTCAAGGCTCAGGGGCTCAACCATCTGGCTAATGACTAGCTACTTTTGGCAGAAAACCTTGCTGATCTGGCTGCTGAACTCCAAACCCTGTATGACATCAGAATCATTACAGTCCTGTTGTGAGGTGGGGGCTCTATGGATCAGATCTCATATCCCACAGATGCTCAATCGAATTGAGATTTGTGGAAGCTGGAGGCCAAGGCAACACCTTGAACTCTTTGTCATGTTCCTCAAACATTCCTGAACAATCTTTGCAATGTGGCAGGGTGCATTATCCTGCCTAGAGTGGCCACAGCCATCAGGGAAATCCAGTACCATAAAGGGCTGAACATGATCTTTAACAATTTATAGTTAGGTGGTACATGTCAAAGTAACATATATAAAAAATGCCAGGACTCAAGGGTTCCCAGCAGAACATTGCCCTCTGCATAACAATGCCTCCGCTGACCTGCCTTCTTCAATAATGCATCATGCTGCCATCTCTTCTCCTGGTAAACAATGCACACACACCCGGCCATCCACCTGATCTAAAAGAAAACATGATTCATCACACCAGACAACCTTCTTCCATTGCTTCATGGTCCAGTTCTGATGCTCACGTCCCCATTGAATGTGCTTTCGGTGGTGGACAGGAGTCATCATAGGCACTCTGTAGTTACAGAGCCGCATATGTAGCAAAATGAAATGCACTGTGTGTTCTAACACCTTTCTTTCATGGCCAGCATTACGTTTTTCAGTAATTTGAGCTACAGTAGCCCTTCTGTGTGATCAAACCAGATGGGCTAGTTTTTGTTCTCCCGATACCAGTTCACTGGTTGTCCTTCCACGCACCACTTTTGGTTGGTACTAACCACTGCATACCAGGAACACCATACAAGAATTGCCATTTTGGAGATGCTCTGACCCAGCCATCTAACCATCACTATCTGGCCCTAGGCAAAGTCACTCAGATCCTTTTCCTGCTTCTAACACATGAAATGCAAGAACTGACTGTTTACTTGCTGCCTAATATTTTCCACTCCTTCACATGTGCCATTGTAACAATATTAATTAATGTTATTATTTTCACCTGTCAGTGGTTTTAATGTTTTGGCTGCTCATAATATCAATATTTAATTTTTTTTTAAAAAGTAAATATTTTTCATAATATGACTTCATTTTAGAAGTTTATTAAAAAAAATATTAAATTGGGGGCGGGGCCTGACAGCCAACAGAGATGGCCGCATGCGGCTGGAGCTCTTCGGCAGAATAACTTATTTAAGCCTAATTCTCCACATAATCTTCTTGTTTCTGTTGAAAATTCTGATGGGGCTCTTGTGGAGAACCTTGCCAAGTGACTGGCCAACGAGTGCCTGACTCCAGCAGGCATAGTCCGTGTGAGACCTCTCTGAGGCCTGCAGAAATACTCAAGGCAGGGGAGGCGGCCGATCCCCTGACTTTGTTGGTAGCTTCGCTAGCCTGCTCCTGGACCCTGTTTCCGCCCCCTTTGGACCGGCGGGGGTTATCCCGGTCCCCACTGGCATCCTGACATGGCCACCCTGCCGAACTACCCAGCTCACCAGAGATCAAGAGCAGAGGCCTAGCAGACACTATGTATGCTCCCCTGAGACCCGCAAACCTGGACACCTCCCAGCAATCATCCACACTAGTGGAACCGCTCCTACAGGCTTTCGACCGGATTTGTGCATCGTTTTGGGCAATGCTTTCTGAACGAGAGCTTACCCACACCCCTGCTCCCCAGGGTCATACTGCTGACCGGAGACGAAAACTGAAGCATCTCCCACGTGTCCCCAGAGTAGCCGGGCAGAGGAGATGTCAAAAGAAGAAGCCGCGACGGACAGCTGTACTCCATCCTGCACACGAGCACACAAGCTCCCTCAAGTCCCGAACAAGTGGAACCAAACTCCCTTGCTGTAACCAGCTGGACTTGAAAGCTTCCCCCTCAGGCAGCCTGCTGCATATGACCGTGGGACCGCAGATGCCCCAGGCCTGCTTATTCCAGCATCGAGTGAGTAGACCATGGGGAGAGGAGACCGGGCCCGGTAATGAACTGCCCTATCTAGCCTGGAACATCTGGGACTGTTGGCGTCCTCACATGCAGAAAGATAGACTCATGTCCTCAAATGTTAAAAGCCTACCATTAATAGGCATCGGCTAAACAACCCCATGCAGGCCCTCTAACGCAAAACCTATTTCTAGTGCTCACTATGATTGCTTTGCTACTCCACCAAAGGCAGTAGTTTTAATGGCCTGGGGCCTCCCTATGTTTGTTTTGTTGTGGGGTTATAGCCCAGCAATTATTTTAACCTAGCTTACATTAATCGATTCCATATAATTCTGTCTTATGTTATTAAGCAACTGAATGACCTTAGCTCCTGCTTTAACAGCAAAGAATATGTTTTCTTTTATGTTTCTCACAAATATGCCTACCACAAATGCTGATTTATACAACCCTTTATTACAGATCAAATGTAAACATCCTGGTTACTTAAAAAAAAAATGTGCAGCTCAATCTTGTCATGATATTGTATGCACTTACATGCCTGTTGCGGTTAACCGCAGGTTAAGTACCGCCTTCACGGCGGTCTACGTTCGTCTCCCGAACAGCTGAAACGTCCAGCCAGAGAGCGGGGATTCGTGCACAACTCTGGCCGTTAATTGTTACACAAGTTTGATGCCGAGGTCCCGCTGCCTATTGACTCACTCAAAAACATGGCCGCCATCTCAAGCTCGGGACCAAATATGCGAACGGACTTTGCAACGAAGAAACCAAGCATATGGTTTGTGGGTTTGAGGCACTATTCGGTGAAATATTGCACACGGACCTGGGCTACAGAATGAATGGTAGAAGTCCAGTAGTATAGCTGAAAATGTTGAAGTTATATATTTTTAACCTGTTTTTGATGTGCAATAAAAAAGAGAATTTTTTTTAACCAGATTGTGATCATTTGAAAAGCTTATCCTAAATAATTAAATCAAGGCCTTAGCTTCCTAAACATGTCATAAAACAAACACAAGGTACTCTTAAAAAGCATAGAACCTACCATGGCACAAAACCCCCCACAAAAATAGCATGAAACCCCTACCTGATCAAACATAACTGTTGTAAAATTCAAGGAGTGTGTTTTGCATAAAAACATTTTTTATTAATGGCCAGACTGTTTTCTAATGTTTTTTTGAGCCCAGGATGTACCCGAGCATTCTAAAATGTCTTTAAAGGAACCCCATGGTCATACCAGAGTATAGTTAGTCCCTGCAGACTCTTTAATGTAACCACTGCCTAGGGATACCTCCAGTGGCCACTCCTCAGATAGCTACTATAGGTGCTTCCTTGGTCAGTGCTGCACAATGTATAGCACTAATGTTAAGCGTTTCTACGTTCTGCATGGAGACACTAAAAACACTCCCTGTAAAGATGCTTTGATTCAATGCATCTCTATGAGGAGATGCTGATTGGCACAGCGCAGCGTTTTGACATGCACTTCAACAGCCTTCCAATGCTTTCCTATAGGAATTCATTGGATTAGCTGAGCTCATCAAATTTGATGATCTTAGCTAAGGAGGTGGAGTGGCCCGTGGCCAGCCACGATGAGACTGGTGCTGGAATAAATGAATGTAAACTCACCTTTTAAAGGCAGGAGAGGGGCCTGGGGGCCTAAGTAGTGTTTGTAATCCTGACACTATAGTGTTCCTTTAAGTAGCTGCAACTTTATTGTATTAGAAATGTGGGAGAATTCACGGCGTGGTTCGATCTGTTTGTCAGAGTTATTATTATGACTATACTTTATCTATGAAGTGTAGAAACATTCTTCAGCGCTGTACATGGGTACAATTACTACAAGTGCAATACATCTGTGACAACACTAAATTTGGCAAACAAATATAGGAGGAAGCGAGGGCTTATTCCCATGGGAAGTTACAATCTAGTTATAAGTTACACTAGAACAGAAACAGAAAGTTTTTAGATAAATAGCTAAAAAAAAAGGATTATTTGCCAATTATTTTCTAAATTGATTTTACACCTCTTGAGTGTCCCAGAATTCTTATTAAAGATAGAGAAACATTTGGACACATATTCTGAAAAGTGATGGTTAAATTCTGCCCTTCATTTCAACTTAATTTTTAAATAATCTAAAAAGTGATGATTTTCTTTATAATAACTTCTGCCAATATTCAGAGAAATTAGTATTTCGGAAAACGTCCAAATTTACAGTAGCAACAAATTTTAAAAAAAAAATATTAAACCCGTTGTATTGCCAATACAATGGCGTATATTAAAAATGTACAGCAAAAAATCCAAAAGATTTAATACAATACAATGTGCCAAAAATTCATTTAAAATTGTACGAACACTTTGCTAAATCTTCTCTATTGCCTATTAGAAATATAAGCTTTCAAACACTGAAATCATTAGATGTCAACTTTCTTCTTCTGCTGAAATCCCCAAAAAGCCAAGTGTTTATTCTACGGCCTATGAACAACGTACTACTTCTTGAAGATGATAGACATAACAGTAAAAGTCACAGATGACATTCATTCCAAGATCTCCAGGAATTTGATTCAGACAAATTGCTTAAACTTCATTTTTGCAAACCAGTCTATTACAAACCAAATAAAACTTTTACAAAACAAATGCATAGAAATTATCACTTTTTACTCCAAGCAACGAAGAGAAGTGTTTGCAGTTTGGTAAGTCGGAATGTTTGCACTGTATGAAATATTAGTCTGTTGATCCAAAATAATCACAGATGTAATTTTTAGACACAATGTTTTTCTTATTGTGGAAAAATACATTACAGTTTAATAATTGACAGAAATTTACATATAAATTAGCAATGTATTATTTTCAATGTATTATTTTTTTATTTTTGGTATTTTTCAACAGTTATTAAACGTATTTATTTTCACGTCGTTAGAAAAGGGAATTTTATTTTTTATTTTTTTACAGTGAATCATCTCCAGACTGACCAACTGTTATCCAAACATGAATAGTGCTTAGTCAAGAACTATGTGTATCTACAAAGGCTCGTGCCAGGCTGCATCAATATCTAAACTTTTCCTTCTGATTCAGATTCATTTTCAACTTTATTATCACTGCACAGTGTACGTACAAAGGCAATCAAACACAGTTGGTCTCTGATCAGCAATATAGTGGCGATTAATCAAATATATAAAAAATGTACACTCTGTGTAAACTTTAGCAGTCCTTATCTAATGCCATAATAAACCTAGTACCTAAGAAATACAATCCCTCCTTCATATAAAAAAACTTTAACAACCTAATGATACATATAAACATTACCCAATAATGCCACAAATATTATACAACTCAACTGTATAGCCTATAGCCCCCAGTCCTGTCCAAGTAAAACGATCTATCCCACATAAACCAACCATTAGAGATGTCGCGAACCGTCCGCGAACTTCTCGCGAACGGTTCGCCACAAGCTGTTCGCGGCGAACTCCGGTCAGCTGACACGTCCCGGGATGATGCTGTCCAGGAAGTAGGAGGGTCTGGGAGGGAGGGTCTGCTGGAGATTGGCCGGGACGTGTCAGCTGACCGGAGTTCGCCGCGAACAGCTTGTGGCGAACCGTTCGCGAGAAGTTCGCGGACGGTTCGCGACATCTCTAATGGTTGGTTTATGTGGGATAGATCGTTTTACTTGGACAGGACTGGGGGCTATAGGCTATACAGTTGAGTTGTATAATATTTGTGGTATTATTGGGTAATGTTTATATGTATCATTAGGTTGTTAAAGTTTTTTTATATGAAGGAGGGATTGTATTTCTTAGGTACTAGGTTTATTATGGCATTAGATAATAGGAGTTTGCGAGGAGTTTGCGGACGGTTCGCGACATCTCTACCAACCATACCTCGCTCAAATAAAGTGAACCAAACTACAAATGCGATTAACACTGACTAGTGCAAATAAAGTACATAATCTCAGCAACATGCCTTTGTCATGTAAGAACGAGCTCATGTCATACAAACTGCAACACATTGGCAAATAACATAAAGTGCTAAGTGTGAGCATGTAGGCCATATGAATGAATTGCAAGATGTGCATAAAGTGCAAACTATGAGTAAAGTGCAAGACGTGAGCAAATAAACCATGTACAAAATGTGGGAACGTAGATACAAAATACCAACACATGACCATTTGTCTAAAGTACAAAATGTGAGCACAAAGGCTAAATAAAGTGCAACGTGTGAGCACATAAATGCATAATGGTTCAAGATGTGATCGTGCAGACTACGTGCATAAGAGTGTGAGTGTGAGCACATTGGCCATATACATAAAGTGCAAAATGTATATTGGTCATTTTATTATTATTATTATTATTATTATTATTATTGGCAATTATATAGCACCAACAAGTTCCGTAGTGCTTTACAGTATTATAGGAGGTAGAGATTTAACAATAAATGAGACAATTACAAAAACTTACAGGAACAATAGGTTGGAGAGGACCCTGCACAAATGAGCTTACAATCTAGAGGGGGTGGGTTATAAAACACAATAGGACAGCATAAGTTGTAAATATGAACATAACAACCATTACGACCATATACGTAAAGTGAAAAATTCAAACCACATCCACCATGTGCGTTTGTGCAATTTATAAAGAGATCATCTTATTTCCACAGCTGCTAAAATAAAGTAACAATGTCAAGAAATGATTCATATTTTTGAAAATATCCCTTTGTGATATTTATTTATTTATAAAATATTTTACCAGGATGGATACATTGAGATTTAACTTGTTTTCAAGTATGTCCTGGGTCCACAAAGCATTGCATTGTTACAATAGGGTACAATATTACAAAAATACAATATACAAACTATAAATATATATACACATACACACATATATAAGAAAAGGAAAACAGTGGTATATATTTTCACAGGTGATGCAGTTGTGTTCTGAATTTAGTAATACGCAATACACCAAGATTTCTTAGGAATTGCCCTTAGTATTCCCATTAAGATTCAACACAAGCCAATATCTCGAACTTTCTATTAACTCCCTGGCATTTCTACTGTACCTTCTGAACAGGCGCTACAAGAACGGTCTTTGAGTATTTGCTAAATACAAGGCTCGAATTCAACTGAGATCATCTGTCAACCATAGATATATAAAGAAACTGCCACCCTTCCCCCTCCCAGGCACTCCAGCACCACAGTGAACACTTAAAAAATATATTAACTCACAATTATTTTTTAGGGAGTAAAGCTAGATTTCTTAGGATACATCCTTTACTATTTTGTTTTAGGGAAAAAAAAAAACATTTGTCCAAACATTACAGTAAAACTGGGCATGCAATTTTATAATACGGAATACTGAAGTAGAAAGACATACAGCGTGTTAAAATAAAATAGTTAGAATGTAAAAACACACACCCGGTATGTAATAGTTATTTCAAATATTTGTATATTTCTTTTGAAAACAGATACATGCCATGTGTAGCAGAAACTGTTAAAAAATACAAATCTAAAAAAACAAACAAAAAAAACACCTCTGATTTTGCATAATGAAAAAACATACTTACTGCTGTGGATCCCGCAACGGTGGCTACGAAGACTTTAATAACCATTTTGGCTACAGAAAGGGGAGAACCCTGTTAATACGTAACAAGAATCCAGAGCGTGTTTCGAGCTGATAGAATCCCAACACACTGTCTGCAAACTTCCCCAGTCCTTTGAGCCATGCACTTTGCAACCTAATCATTGGATCCAAGATATTTTGGGAACTAGCAGCTGACAAAACCATTGGTTCACAAAGACATCTGTTGTGACCGTGCTGGAAGCTGTATCTAATCAGTTTAGTTTAGCTGTACTAATCCCTAAAAGGCAAGGCACAACAATACACCAATCAGAGTGCAGTTAATACAAACGATCAATTTATGTGTTTTGTGATAAAGCATTGTAGTACTAAATAGAAAAATACATTATAGCAAATTGTGCACTAACAAAAAAACATTTTCTAGTATTTTTGGTAATGTTAACCTGTTTACCACCATAAAACAATTTGAATTCTTTTTAAAAGGAAGGAATGATGAAAGAAAAATTAAAAAAAAAGCTATTTCACAAATCATTTTCTGTCTGATCTGTCTCTAAATATGAGGAGAAACTTCTAGGTGAAATATAAAGCTGCTCTGTCACCTTCTAAAACACGATTACGACTGCTCTACTTTCTCTGCGGTGGCCCATGGGTGAAGAGGAAGGTAGGTTTTACTTACCTGGATCTGTCAGTCGCCGACACTGCCATCTTGCATCCTCTTCAGTTCCTAGTGCTTCATCTGCCAGGAGCCAAGGTCAGTACTGTACTCTTTTGCATGCACGAGAATGGTTAAGGGGGGCAGGGGACTGATGAAGGGGGCAGGGGGCTGATGAAGGGGCAGGGTTTTGTTGAAGTGGGTGCAGGCGACAGATCGTGAATGTGCCTGAAATTGTCTACAGGGGGTCAAACAAAGATGGCGAGGGGGCACCACAAGATTGGCTCGCACAGGGTGTCTGAACACCTAAGGCCGCCCCCTGTATACCCTACCACTAGTTATCTGGGAGTTCTATTGCCTAACGGAAGCATTTATTTTTTCTTATTGGGGTGCAGCTGGCTAGTGAGAGCTGCCAAACTGCCACACACACAATCCTCATGCTGCCAAGGTTTTTTTTTTTAAATATTTGCCTGCTGGCCGGCTGGTTGCTAGTGCTTCAAGGGACCTAATAGTTTGTATGTTTAAAATATGGGTCCAGATTTTAACAATCGTGGCCAATAAATTAAACGTTTATTTCTAGGTGTTAGCTGCTTTGAGATGTTCTGTTGCATCCAGGCAAGCTGAAATCTGTACAAATGTTTAGCTCGTTAGCAGATAGCATCACATAATCCACATATATTAAATAGTGTGAACAATGGCCAGATGGCCAATTTATTGCACACACAACTTTTAAAGTTCTGCTCATACACAGTTTGTGATGTATAGGAGAATTCAGATATCCGAGCATGCCTAGGAGATGCACCCTTCATTTCCAGGGACATCAAACATACCTATCATAGACTGGTCCATCACAGATACTGCTGCCCAATGGCAAACTCACCAATGGGGAAGGCTTGCAAAGGCAGCAGACAGCATGTCTGCAGCTTTTTCACACTGTTTTTCATAAACCCCCAAATAAAACAGGCTAAATAAAAATACATGCATGTTATCTTTGGGGGTATGTATACTAAATTATAAAAAAAAAAAAATATCACTGGAATGTTACATTAACTCATTAACGTAGAGTTTCCCCCTGAGATTAACATACTAGTTCTGCATTACAACTTTTATCTAAATTATTTCACAGCAGATTGCTGTTTTGGTTGCTAGACTGTATTTCGCTGGCGTTTATGATTTCTCTTATTTGTGTCTCTTACTTGTTCTATCTCTGTTTTCTTTACTTGCATTATGTTTTGCCTTGTTTTTTGTTTTTGTCTACTTCAGCCTACAATCAAACTGTTTTATGCCTTATTATGCTTATTATTATTATTATTATTATTATTGCCATTTATATAGTTCCAACAGATTCCGTAGCGCTTTACAATATTATGAGACAGGGGGATTTAACTATAAATAGGACAATTACAAGAAAACTTGCAGGAACAATAGGATGAAGAGGACCCTGCTCAATCAAGCTTACATTCTATAGGAGGTGGGGTATAAAATATATAAGGACAGGAAATAGCAATCAAATAAGGTGGGAGTGAGGCCGAGCTGGAGGAGAGAGTAGAGTGCTGCCCTTTAGGAGAGTGCAAGAGACAGGTATGTAAGGTAGAGGTTACTTTGGGAGGCCATAAGCTTTCCTAAAGAGATAGGTTTTAAGGCACTTCTTAAACGATCGAAGACTAGGGTAGAGTCTGCTGGCGGTAGGCAGGTTATTCCATAGAAAGGGAGCCGCCCGCAAGAAGTCCTGCAAGCGTGAGTTGGCCGTACGGGTGCGAGCAGACGACAGGAGAAGGTCACGGGCAGAGCGGAGAGACCAAGAAGGGGCATACTTATGGATCTGTGAAGAGATATAAGAGGGCCTAGAATTGTTCAATGCTTGTTTTTTATTTGTTTTGTTGTGTGTGTATGTAGTCTACTGATCATGATTCGTGCTTTTGTTTTGCTGGCAAATATTTGTAGGTGCATTTTGGAAGCATACCATGTTTTTTGGTCTTGTTACACTATAACAGAATGGACGTTGGTGGCATGACTTGGCATTCTATTTTTATTCTTTGAGTCGCTCCTTATTTTTCGTTTGTGGTACAAAAGTATTTCTATATGTGCATTATTGTATAATATTTCATATATGTGTGATAATTTTTCTTGAACTTAATATTCATTGAATTTTTTGATGTTATGCTGATATATTTGTATGTACCCAGATAGATAGACAGGTGGATAGATAGATAGATAGATAGATAGATAGAAAAGTATACAAATTAAAGGTTATACTAAATAAATAATTATAAGTATTCTTGCAATCATTTGGATTAAACAAATATGATGGCGGGGAGCATATGGACGTGTAGGAGAGGGGCTACTTGCCTTCTAGCCCACAATTTAGACAAAAAGCATCTATATATCTCCTGTCGAAATTGTAAGCTGGCTATAGCACAACAGAGAGGGAGAAAAACTCTAAAAAACAAAACAGAGACAGCTTTTTTTCAGCCAATAACCTAGGGGGAAGGCCTCAGCATTGCTCGAATAGAGCTACTTTGGAGGTGAAGAGTTGGAAATGGCACAAGGAGCTTCCCTGATGATGGAAGAACAACCTATTACACATGGGTCTATGCAGCACTTGGAGGATGATTTACCTGGAAAACTTGTCTCCATGATATCAGGAAAGATATGCAGGAGCAGGGAGCAGGAACCTCACATGCCAAGGCCAAGATGGAAGAGTTTCCAGAAAAGGTGCAAACCCAAGAAGCCTAATTGGAAACATATGAGTCCAAGCTAGCAGAACTGGAGGACAGGTCCCAGAAAATAACCTCTGAATACGGCATTCAACAAAGTGACTTAAGGCCTAATATACCTACCAGCATGCTGTTGTTAGACAGAGCCCACGGGGTGGTGAAGAGAAAATTCCTGCCCATATCTGTTCCCCGAGAAATGCTTCTAAAGTCCGGTAAGATCCACAAAGATCCCATCAAAAAATATGAAGGAATTCAATTATTTGCTGACCTGTCAGCACAAGCCTTCAGAAGGCGCAAGGCTACAGGGACATCACGGAGACCCTCAGAAAGCATGTTACACCATACAGAAATCCAACAAAGCTGATGGTACAGCGAAAAGGCACAGTGACACACATCTGTGATACAGTGAAAAGGCACAGTGGAAAGAGGGAGCGTGCAATCATTATTCAGAATTCCACAGGCAGCACCGAGATTCTCTCTCTGGAATGGAAATAACAACACAAGTAGTAGTTGACATCAAGCCTAGCATTCAGGTCCCGTGGTGGGCATACATGGTACAAATAATTGTTGCATACATGCTTCTGTTTTCAAAAGGGTTAGCACAGGTAGCTCTTTATAGTGGATCCTGAAGGCTACAGTTCTCAGGTGACCTACGATAAAGACGGGAAAATATTATATTAACCCCAGGTTAGTCTCTGTTTTTTTCTGATTTGTTTAGTTTTTTATTTGTGCTTTCCAAGGGTGGGCTCAGGTTGAGTGATTCAATTTATGGTACCTGGCCATTCCATGTGGCTTCTCCTGAAGCTCTCGATAATTTTAGAAAGAGTCCCCGAGACTAACAACGTCAGACGGTATGATATGAGGTTAAAAAGGTACAAACAAGAAAAAAGAAAAATTTACACTATTATATACCTAGCACTAATTTGGCCTTATTGTTGTTAGGATCACACCGGTTTACTTACCCATTATATCCTATGTAAGTACTAGCAATGATCCTTGTCTCACAATGTAAGTTGTGTATTGTTTATTTTTCTTTTAAGCAATGTCTTTTTTTCTTCAATGTAATGTTGTTACTGATTCACATTTGATGTTCGTGTGGGTGGCTGGTGGCTGCCTTTTCCACCTTGGTCACAAACTAGGTATTAAGTAGTCACTTCCCTTGCCTCCATGCCAGGAGGTGGGGAGCGCCGTGCAGAGCAGACCGATGGCCTGTCACAGGGAGCCCAGCAGGTGGACAATCGGTCACCTAAGGGAGCCCCCTGAGAGGAGCTTATTTAGCAATGCAGAGTAGGCACCTGCTTGTCCCAGAGGCAGGTGCCTACTCTGCAGCAATATACCGGACCGGGCTGGGGTGAGGACAGAGTCAGACTGTGGCGAGGGAGTGCTGTCTGAGCTGATGATCTTCCTGCTGCCTCGCATGCTCTCTATGGTGAGCCGGAATATGACGTAATTCTGGCCCCGCATCACTGAACAGTGTGAGGGAGGAGAGAGGAGATGGAAGAGATTTGAAGACACTGGACCCCAGGGAGAGGACTCAGAGGACTTCTAAAGGTAGGAGAAACAAGCAATACTGACAGACACACAGTGTGTGCAAGACTGTGTATGTGTATGTGTCTGAAAGTAAGTGTGTGTGTGTGTGTGTGTGTGTATGTGTGTGTGTCAATAAGGGTGTCTATGAATAAGTGTGTGTGTCTAACAGTGTGACTGTCAGTGTGTGTGTGTGTGTCTGTCAGTAAGTGCGTCTGTGTCTGTCAGTGTGACTGTCAGTGTGTGTCTGTCTGTCAGAGTTTGTGTGTGCCTGTCAGTGTGTGTATGTTTGTGTCTCAGTGAGTGTGTGTGTGTCTGTCAGTAAGTCTGTCA